GAAAGACAGACAGACAGACAGACAGACAGACAGACAGACAGACAGACAGACAGACAGACAGACAGACAGACAGACAGACAGACAGACAGAGACAGACAGACAGAACAAAGGCGAGAGCAGATGAATTATGCATATCACTCACTTCTTTTATCCATCACCAAACTATCACCACTGCACCTCCTGCTAGGAGCAAGGTTATTTGCTAGGTTAAACTTACCCACACCACAAGTGCTTATTGTGAGGGAAACAGGATGTTGTTGGGGAAAACAAAAAGTTGCCAAACATCTGTCACTTAGCCTAGGAATAAGCTCATTGTCAGGACAAGCTATGTCATTGGGTTCCAGGCTCTCTGATGAGGCGGACATGCTTGACATGCACTATTTTCATTACTGTTGATCAGATCTAGATCTAATATTACTAATAACCAGAGCACATATTAAATGATATTGCAGAACATTTTGTCATGTTCGTATTTCGAATAGTTCGACAAGGCAACATCGACAACTTTGACCCCAATTTAATCATTGTTCTTGTTTAATGAAATCGTGGCCAATAGCTGATTACAATAAATTAGAAGGCTACACTACAATGCACTGTGGGATCAGATCTTTTGCTTGATGGCAGAATGCCATAGACCCTGATGAACTTACGGATAAAATTTGAAGAAGCAGGGCAGGGTCTATTAAAATTTGATGTCGTGATAACTGGTCACTGCTATTACTTGACCAAGCCCAATTTATTCTGATCATGCTGATCGAGTCCATCAGAACACCAAAGAGCATTCGCTATGATTAATGATTACTTTATTGAATATTTTTTTAATGGAATTCTTTCTCCTAACTTTTGTCTAGTCTGATATCATAGAACCATATGACTGATGTGAGAGTCACTGCAAAGTATTGGGGGCTATACTATAATTAATTTTAAAATCCATGTAGGCCTATTGACCTGACTTTATGATAAAATATGCACAATACCTTAAGTATAAGCTGCAGCATAGATGTCCGGGCCTCATTTTTACTTTTACTCCCGTATTCAGGTATTCTATAGCGCTTTTCTTTTTCATTTTTATCCATTTAAAACAAAATTTGACTTTAAAAATCCATGGCAAATTATTAGTTTTTGAGCTATTTGATGCTTTCATTCAAACTTTGTTACTGCAGGCCAAATTGCATAGCGTGATATTTTGCATGTTTTTATAAAATCTGGGGGGGGGGGGGGGGGGGGGGGAATCTGTTTTACCCAATTTGATGTTTTGCTATGAGAGTTGAGATTTTTGAAAGCAAACAACAAATTTGCAACTTTTAAAATATTCTTTTTTGTGTGGCCACAATATAAGGTGTATTCTGCAGCCAAAACACAGCACTTTAGCTCCGAAAAGCAGAGCACCTGCATGTGGGATGAGAAAATGTAAAATCATCCAAGTTCAGGTTAGGGTTAGGATGGAGACAGGCTTGGTAGTCAAGCATGTAAATGAGTTCAAATACCTGGGAAGTGTGTTCACCCAAGACGAAAAGATACACAGAGGAAAAGAAACCAGAATTTTTTTTAAAGGCTGATGCAGTGACTAACCAACTGGCATTGTTACGTTCACATTCCAAAATCATAATGGAAACAAAGTGCCAACTCATTAACAGTAGCAGCATCTTCATACCAGCACTGACACTGTGATATCAAGGCCAAACATGGACAGTTAACATTAGTGATCAAAGTAAAAAGAACAACCTGTGAAGTGAGATGCCTCACGAACAAAGGAACTCAGAAGAAAAACTTTGAACATCACAAGAAGAGACAGAGTGAGATATGAGATTGTCAGAGAGCACGTTGGCTCGCTCCACTCCCTTCATAGAGTATATACATAAAAGATAAAATGGTTTCGACTCTCGTCAAGACTACCACCAGATAGCAGTAAGAGATCAGGTGGATACAGTCAATACAGAGGAAGAAGCAGGCCCAAAAAAAGATTGATAGAGGGGGGTTAGAGAAACATAGGGTAGATTATGCAACCTTAACAGATTCATGCAGTGACTGCAAAAGTAACCAATACTGTTCCCACCTTTGTAAAAGAACACAGATCATCTTAGTACAGCATGCACAGCAGCCGTTCTACTTCTTGAGCACTACATTCTTTACTCTATTTTTGCATTCTAAATTTTCAGCCAAACGCGAATTTGTGATACATTCACTTGGGACAATTTCTACAGGGCTGAGGCAAATTCATCCCCCCCCCCCCCCCCATCATAGGGCAATTATTCCTTTTGGGGCTGTGAGTGACTTTGACAGGCAGGATATCTTCAACATTACTGTGGGTTCTTATTAAATTTATTATGACCCCTCCCCCTTCCACAACTTTATGTCTATTTCTCCATACCTCTCCATATTCTTCCCCTGAAGACTAGCAGAGTTTCCTAATGGAGCTCTGACAGAAAGAGCATAATTCTATTACATATCTTCCCCCTCTATGAGATCTACAAAATCAGGGGCATTGACAAAATGCAGGAACAGCCAGCTTCCTAAATGAACTAAATTGTCAGTGGCTCTTTCCCCACAATCATAAATGTGATCCCGGAGGCTGAAACTCTGGGGGAGCTCAATTTCCTTGTTCCCACCCCCCCAATAAAGGGCAGTAAAATGCTTAAAGTTACAGGCAACATATAGTTCATGTAAGCATAGCCTAACATGCTCGAAAAAAGCGAGTCCATTGTCATGAAAGGGCTCAGTAAAGATAAGTCTGAAGGAGTATTTGTCTAGCTACGCCTTACGATGTGGGGACCAAGGGGCATAGCAAACATGCGACTGTGGAGGTCTAGCCTACATCTAAATTTCTGCTAGTTAGTACCTGACCAGTGGAGGATATCGACTCCAAATAAGAAATAATAATGCAGACAGGTCTGAGAAATGTGACAATTTAAAGGTGATTTTGCTAAAAAATTTATTAGTACTTTGGCTTGGCTTGGGATAAATCTGACCGAGTCAGGTTGATACTGCACACCCCTTGTCGAAGTTGTTCCGTTCGCGTCCTGTTGAATTTGCATCACAGCCACCAAAATCGCAATTCATATTATAATCTTTCTAATTCTAGTTCAAGATAGATTAAGATGAACCAAATTTTCATTTTAAAATAAATATACACATTGGTGAATATTTTCAAGCAAGAAAAGAGGTGTGTAAGTAAATAACGGGTGAATACCAGTTTTTTCTTCTTCAAGAGTGAAAAGTGCATGGCGATGAGGCGGCGAACATCAGGCGGGTGTTTTCTGGATCTTTTTAAAAAACTAAAAATAACAAGAGAGGAAGCCTAGGAAGCAGAAAAAAGTGGACTTTAATTATACCAAGACCATATAGGCATCAAACAATTTGCAATTTAAAAGCTAGGTAGAAGCTGTTGAAGTTGCCCCTTGGTTAAGCTCCAACTTACTCTGTCAACAGTCAAAAATGTATAATTATAATAACCATGGATGTGACAGTCGATACACAAAACAAAAGAAGAAGTTTCAAGTAGGTTTCTCCCCTCCACCAACAGCATTTAGGGCCTCACAAAACTAAGGCCAGAAAAGGTAAGACAGTAAGTGGTAGTACAAAGAGCATGGGGGGAGGGATAGGTTGTATTATAGGTCAGAAAAGGTAAGACAGTAAGTGGTAGTACAAAGAGTATGGGGGGAGGGATAGGTTGTATTATAGGTCAGAAAAGGTAAGACAGTAAGTGGCAGTACAAAGAGCATGGGGGGAGGGATAGGTTGTATTATAGGCCAGAAAAGGTAAGACAGTAAGTGGTAGTACAAAGAGCATGGGGGGAGGGACAGGTTGTATTATAGGCCAGAAAAGGTAAGACAGTAAGTGGCAGTACAAAGAGCATGGGGGGAGGGACAGGTTGTATTATAGGCCAGAAAAGGTAAGACAGTAAGTGGGAGTACAAAGAGCATGGGGGGAGGGACAGGTTGTATTATAGGCCAGAAAAGATAAGACAGTAAGTGGCAGTACAAAGAGCATGGGGGGAGGGACAGGTTGTATTATAGGCCAGAAAAGGTAAGACAGTAAGTGGCAGTACAAAGAGCATGGGGGGAGGGACAGGTTGTATTATAGGCCAGAAAAGATAAGACAGTAAGTGGCAGTACAAAGAGCATGGGGGGAGGGACAGGTTGTATTATAGGCCAGAAAAGGTAAGACAGTAAGTGGGAGTACAAAGAGCATGGGGGGAGGGACAGGTTGTATTATAGGCCAGAAAAGATAAGACAGTAAGTGGCAGTACAAAGAGCATGGGGGGAGGGACAGGTTGTATTATAGGCCAGAAAAGGTAAGACAGTAAGTGGTAGTACAAAGAGCATGGGGGGAGGGATAGGTTGTATTATAGGCCAGAAAAGGTAAGACAGTAAGTGGTAGTACAAAGAGCATGGGGGGAGGGATAGGTTGTATTATAGGCTATCTTCCTCTCAAATTGACTGTTATAATTGCAGGGTGGATCTTAAGATTCAATTGAATTTTGCCTCCTAAAATTTAGGTCTAACTTTTTTAAATAGAGCCTGATAATAACCTGTTTTGCCCCCAATGATAAGCCTACAATTTGTCCCCTATTAGCCCTACCCTTTAAGTTATCGCAGTGACTACGTTCACGGCGCCATGAACGTAGTTTGCAGGCTACGTTCACGGCACTCTGAATTATCGACCACTGGCACAGAGGGACGACTGAAACGCTACGGTCGCTCAAACTCAGAGGGAATGAGGAAACAGCATAGGTCCAAATGCCACAGGGCGAAGACGAGCACAACAAAACAGGCTCTGTCGACAAGGCCTAATTTTTGCTCGCTCAAGGCGTGGAACACAACTTCGATCCTCTTCCCGTGTGCGGACCCGGCAACGCTCGACAATTTGAAAATTAAAGTTGTTTGAAGAAACAAGGGAGAATAATATAAGAAGGCCAATGCAGGAAGAGGGGTGGGAGGGGGTGAAAAAAAGAAAAGAAAAGGGAAAAGAGTAGGGGGTGAAGTTAGCATGATCATTCTTAATTCAAATTACATTCAGGGTGCTTAATGTAACCACTGGTAAAGTTAATGGAAGAGGCTAGCCGTACTTAACTGGCAGTCTAGCCGTACTTATTCTAAATATGATGGCTAGACTGACCATTTTTAAAAAATAGGCCTACTGAATGGTAAATATAAATTTTTAGTGTGCAGTACCTAAAGTATATTTGTATTTGAGATGAAACCAGGTGCCTTAATGACAGTGCATGTATTTTAAACCTCCTGTTTTCTAATGTTAATAGGGCCTTTATAAGATTCATTATAAAAACGGCTAGACTTGTACTTAAGTACGGGTAGACAGCCAGGCTAGCCTTACTTAAGGACGGCTAGACTGTCAGACTAGCTGTACTTAATATTGATGGCTGAATTGTAAATGAAATTTTTAGTTTGCAATGCCTAAAGTATTTGTATTTCAGACAAAATCAAAAGGTGCCTTACTGACTTACATCATGTCTTTGAACCTGAATAATTACTAGATCTAGATCTAATGAGACCTGTGTACTTAACAGGCTTGAGTCGCTAGGGCCAAACCTAGATCTAAATACGGTTAGACTGGCAGTCTACTTAAGTACGGCTAGCCACTTCGAAAGTTAATCTATACCAACACTCTACTTCTCTTGGGGCCAAAATTGGAGATTGATATATTTCACTAGAAAACAATTGATTAGCAAGGGTTTTAGAGGCCATATATATATATGAATGTTCTTCAGCAAAAATTATGGCAGTTTAGCCCGTAAACCAATTGCATCTGTGTGTGGAAGCATATTTTAAGTAAAAATTTACCCTAGGTTCTTCTAGATCTACGGCCTTGGTCTAGATCTAGACAGACAGACATAAATCATAGATCTAGTTTTGAGGCCTAGATCTAAATGAAGACTGCGGATGTCTTTTCGATAAATAATCATTTTTGCCTGTTTTGGAATTGGGGGAATTAATAAGAAAATTTGAAGAAAAGAACAATGTCTAATGTAATAATTTCAATTGAGCAGTCACCCTCTCTATCTAGATCTATCTCTCTCTCCTCTGTGTATCGCTTGCCCTCTCTTTCTCTTTGTTTGTCTCTGTCTTTATTTTTTCCCCACCTACTTTCCCACTCCATCTTTCTCTCATTCCCTCCAGTCAACTGGGGCATGTGATATAAATTGCTAGCACTTCGCCCTGTTCTCTACCCCCTCCTCTTTCTCTCTCTCACACACACACGCACTCTCTCTCTCTCCCACCAGGTCAGGGCGCTGAAACTTTCCAAAACCACAAAAGATTTCCCCTACGGGTCTGTATACTTCGTGACTTTGTTCCCGGTTACCGGGTCTGTATACACTTCGTAAAAAAAAAATTAAATATTATGAAGTGATTAAAATTATAAGATGTGATGATGATAATGCCGTAGTAGTAGATTTCTAGATCTAGATCTAGCTAGATTCTAGATCTAGATCTAGAATCTAGTAGGCCTGGAATCACTAGATATCTAGATCTAGATCTACGTAGCCTACTGGTATACATATTTCGGCGCTTTTTCGGTAGTTCTCACCCCGCAATTGTTATTCGCCGGTTTTGGCCTCAAGAGTAGGGGGGTTTCAGACCATAATTTGATGTTTTGCAGTTTGATATCTTAGCTCGCCGCGCTTCAAACGTATAGATCTTGGTGTAGAATCTAGGTCAGGATCAAATAAGGGGGGTGGGACGGGAACTACTGAAAAAGCACCCATATTTCAATGAGAATTGATAATGAATGCAATTGAATAACGGATGATACTAGGCAAAATGGGGTAGATCTAGACGAAAGATCAGACGTAAAATGAAGAGTTGAAAACAGGTCCAAAAGAGATCAACATTTTAGACAGTTTATTCGGAAGGAATTCCGTAACGAGCGACCACCTCATCAAACACAATAAAGTATAAAGAACAGGCCTAGATCTAGATCTAACCCTAACCCAAACCCTACCTCTCAATTCTGTTCTGTCTCATAGTGGTCGCTCGTTACGGAAGTCCTCCCGTTTATTCCTCTAACAGCAGTTTGCAGGTCTCTCTGTTAAAACAACACTGTCACGAGGCTCTTGAATCGAAACACAAGACAAGTTGGCCCAGAGCAGAGAGCGCAGAGACACTCCAACAATAACCAAAACATTTCACACGCAAAAAGAATTAAATATACAAACCTTTCCTGTCCTTTATATGATTCTAAAAGAAATCAGCAGATTCCTGTAATAAAATATTTCCACTTTGAGGAAGCTTTTATTCTAATTCTAGGCTCCAGGCTAGGCCAAATCGTTCTGCTTCCCAGTCACACACCAGCCAGAGCTAAGCTTATACTTATACTGAATACTGCAACTAGAAATCTAAATACAACCCGGAACATAAACTAACAATATTTAGTAAAAGAAAAACGATGACGTAGAAAGGTGCATTCAATTTCGCCCTTTTCCCCCGAACTTATTATAATAGTGCAACATGGGTTGATCAGACTTAACCATTGTATCTAAATTAGCCTATGTTAATCTGACATACGGAAAGCTCCCCCCCCCCCTCCACCTATTCTCCCTCCCATGCCTTTACACTTCAGAGCCAAAAATCACTTTTTCCATTCCTTCGAATGGGTTCTGCTGAAGTTGGGATGGGGGTGCAAGAAGACCCAATCTCCCCAATTCCCAATTTACACTCCATAAGTTAGGGAAAAAAATGCCGCATGTTTAACTTTTCTTTCTGTTCTTTTCTTTCTGTTCTTTTCTTTCCTTCAATGGCAGTGGATGAAAAATCATATTTGGTAAAACTAATAACGTTGTTACCTATTACAGCATCGCCCAGCTGTTTTATGTTGGCCAAATTTCACAACTTAAAAGTGACCCCTCGGCCTTTGGCCCATCCTAGAGGCCATAGGTCAAAGTGGCAAGTTCAACAGGATTCAGGAAGTTGACGTTTGTAGTTTTTGTGTCCGGAAGGCTGAGGTTCTGGTGTTGCTGATTCTGCCCTGAAAGATCCCGTTTGAGTCACATTTTGTCGTGTCTTTGTGGTCCCTAGAAAGTGAAACAGCGTTTTCATCCACGTATCACAATGGGAACTCGGTCGTCTATGCTCCAAGAGGAAGAAATTACGGAAATCCAGAAAGAGACTGGGTGTAAGTTGGGGTTTCTCTGTCCACTGTTGTGACCATGTACATTTAGGTTTCATTCCTGTGCCACTGACGCCACTGTGCCTATGGCCACCCATCTGCTTCGCAATCTTTAATTTTTAATTCCGAATGAAAAACATTTTTGTTCTGTTGAACCTCTTTGGGTGTAGATTTTAGCGTTGTAAAGATCAAATTTGAAGGGAAGGCACGAGATAGATCTAGAATCTAGATCTAGTATATCTAGATCTAGATCTAGAATAAAAAGGAAAAACTGGAATTGGCATCCTTGAATATTGAATGCCTTGAAGTTTAAATCAGTTGAAAAGCTTTTACTTTTCGACATGACTATTTCTCCGAACGCTCGGGAAAATAAACTTGACCTCTATTTCTCGGAACGGTTTCCATTTTTGAGATTTTCTGGTTAATATGCGAGAGTTTGGCGTCATCTTTCATTCTGCCGTTCTGCGAGGACTTAGAAGTTAGAAGCATTTTTCACTTAGAATTCTAGATCTATTTCTAGAGCAGAGATTACATGCGACTACACGCAGGGCGTAAACCGGGCTACGATTGGCTGAACCTGTGACCCATGAATACATTAGGCCTACGGTAGGCTACTCTGGACCGACGACAAGACACCCTCCATGTCACTCTCACCACCCCACCCCCCCCTCTCTCTCTCTCTCTCTCTCTCTCTCTCTCTCTCTCTCTCTCTCTCTCTCTCTCTCTCTCTCTCTCTCTCTCTCTCTCTCTCCCAAGGTAGGGTAACAAACGAAGAAGTCCCCAATTTGTAATATTTATTAAGATTCTTCTTCTTCTATTTCTTCATCTTCTTGTTTTCCTCCCCCTCTAATTCCTCCTGCTCCTCCTCCTCGTCCCCCTGCTTCTTCTTCTTCTTCTTCTCCTCCCTCCCTCCCCCTTCTTTTTCTTCTTCTCCTCCCTCCCTCCCCCTTCTTCTTCTTCTTCTTCTTCTTCTTCTTCTTCTTCTTCTTCTTCTTCTTCTTCATCTTCTTCTTCTTCATCTCCTCCTCCTCCTTCATCTTCCTTATATATCCTCCTCCTCCTCCTCCTCTTCCTCCTCCTCCTCAATTCTTCTTCTTCTTCTTCTCCTCCTCCTCTTCCTCCTCCCCCCTTCTCCTCCTCCTCCCCCTCCCCCTCCTCCTCCTCATTCTTCTTTATCTTCTTCTTCTTTTCATTTCTTCTCCTTCATCTACACTTTGGATCCTCCTCCTTCTATCTCCTCAATTCTCCTTCTTCTTCTTTCGTGAGCACTCAGCCCGCTGTGAGAAGACAGCCAGAGGTGAGAGACCGAAACTGGGAATTCCCAGAGTAGATCTACCCACAGGTTTGGCCAATCGTAGCCCGGTTTACGCCCTGCGTGTAGTTGCATGTGAGATTTTTAGATGTCTGAATATTCATATATATATATATATATATATATATATATATATATATATATACTTCAATTCTGGTTGTGGCAACCAATTTTTTTACCTTACGAAGTGAACTAGGGCAGTGTAATAAAGTTCGATTTTCTTCTACAAAACTTTAATGGTTTTTAACAAAAATGACATTTCTAGAGAGCTAAATGATATATCTATCAATATTTTTATATAACTTGCCTCTGGAGCATTTTCCATCGTTATTAAAAAAGAATTTAGAAGATAAAATATATATTTTACCATAACTTTCTACTCAAGCGTCGTATGAACTCCGGGTGGGTTGTAAACTCTTCAGCGTCCAATTCTACTGCAGACTCATGTGATTTCAACAGCACTAAATTTGTCAAAATTTGTGTGCCACGCATTGTGGCAGAACGCGTATGGACCCTTGTAGTTTTAACTCAAAAATCTATAATGTTACGCCTTTCTCCCCCCATTGAAACTAACATGGAAACAAAAGGCACATATATATAGATCTCTCATTTCATGTTGGTTTTATGATGCTAGGCTAAGAACTAATAAAGTTATGAGCCGAGAAAGGGGAAAAACCGGGATTTTTGCGGAAATTCCCACTCGCGAGCCTGAAACCTCCAACTTTTATAAACAATCTCAGCAATTCTCTGTCAATAAATTTACCTTCTCCTCAAAGTGGTACACACACAGACACACTCAAACACACGCACGTACACACACACAAGCGCGTGCACACACACACCCACACACAGCCCAAGCAGTCAGCGATGAAACCTAGTGACGTAGCCCTTTGCGTGCTAAGCGGCAAAGTGGGCCCGCCACAGTAAGATTTAGTCAACTGGCGAGGGAAGCCCTGGAAGATGACTTTAAATAGATGGCAGAAATACGTCATCTATATTTGGGCCAATCACAGAGGTGGGCTAGGTGCTCGCTGTGGCTTTATGTGGTAGTAATTTGACAGTCGCATGAACAAGAATCACATAATTTCGCTTGTTTTCGATGCTTCTTTTCGTTTTATTAGTTGTAGTGACTCAGAATATGATGTGTCCGATAGATAGGACCCTGGATATATACCCGAACACGGCCCGAGTTGTAGTTTTAGGGCTAGATCTAGCAATGATACTATTGGTGCAATTTCATTGTAAGCGCACCTAAATCTGTCTCATGTTTCAGTGTGGTCTTAATCAACGCATAACCCAGCTTATACATATTTTCACCTAACACTCACACATGCATGCATACAAATCAAAACAGAACATTTTGAACTTTTATTTTTGTTGTTGTTGTGAATTTCATTCTATCTGTCATGTCTGGAAATTTTTAGGAAAATCAAATTGATGCAAATTTTTAAAAATCTAAAAAATTAAAGTATTAGACAAAGACAACTTTGGTTTTTGTATTTTAGATTTGATTAAGATTGACTGTGTCAAAAAATAATTACAGTTAGGTAATTCTGAGAGTTGTGGTGGTGTTTTGAAATTCTCCCCAAAACGCCAGTATTTACCGCTAGTGACTTGTGAAAGGGCCAGACTTAGTCTTAGTCAGTGAGTTAATCGAGCTATATATCACACAAAGCCTTACTGCGTAGTAATTTGCACGCTTTGGACCAATCGGGGGGTTTCAGGGGAGCCTGCCCTTAGGGGAAAAAATATCGGGGGGGAGGGGGGGAGGTTACAGGGGGCATGTTTTAACCCATAATTTGATATTTTGCAGTTAGGTTTGAAATTTTCTTGAAAATAATTGATTTGCGACAGTTTTAGTGGCTCTATGTTTTGATCTGCTACAGACAATACTGCAGTTTGACCCCCAAAGCAGTGCATCTGTGTGCGGGAGTGAAGGTAAAAATTACCAAGCGGTTAATAATGCAGTCAGGAAGAGACAACAATTTTCAGGAGACTTAAATCGACCCGATTTAAAAGGTCTTCAGGCCGTGAGCATCTTTCTCTCACTGGAAAAATGGTTGGCAAATGAGGCAGTTGTAGACCCACAGCAACTTACTTGTTAAACTTGAACAGTTGGGTGACTGGGAAAGACCTGGATAATGTCTTTAAAGTCATGATCGTCAATGTCACTTTCAGGTCTGTCATTTTATGATGATATGATAATGGTTTACAATAGATTTGGTTCTGCATGCCTTTTGGTTTGACTGTGTCCAGTGTTTATCGAGTGAGTATAATAATACCAGATGCCAATTGGAAGGATGGTGTAAGTCAGGTAATACCTAGTTTCATGTGTTCAAAAATATTTATCAATTAGTTATTTTCCATGTCGACATTCTGGGTTTTTAATCATGTCTCTGCCAGCCTACTACTAGAAGTCAAGGTGGCAGTCCGTGCTATTTAACAGAGGATATTAAAACTCCATAATACCGCCAACCCGCTGTACCTCCTATCTTCATGCTCATCTCAAGGCAAATGGTATAGCAGGGTTTGGCTGTTGTCTGAAAATTGTATTTTCATCATTTGAGAGGGACTTGTTGTAGAATATGCTGTTCTTGTCTGTTGATATGTCATTTTTTTTCTTATCTCCACCTGGATCATTTCTGTGTCTTTACAGTCTCAAACAATCAGATTGTACGCCTCTACAGCAGATTCACCAACTTGGATAAGAGTGACCAAGGTTTTTTACGGTTTGTTGTTTTTATTTGTTCATATCATTTATGTAATTCAAAGAGGAAATGCGCCTCAAATCCTGATAATTCTGTACTGTACTTTTTGTGCATAATCGTGGAGCTATGTTGTCCGGTGATACACTGTGTTTGTAATATTAGTCAAATATTAGTGATGAGTTCAGAAATTTTAATATTGTGATAAAAAGAGGACATTTGTAATTTTTGAGGCACATTAGCATTCTTTAAACTTTTTGCCTTTTGAACAGAAGGCCCACTCAGCTAAGGAAAAATAGCAGTTATAAAATACTTTAATCAGTGTTTTGATGAGCGAGTTAAACATTTTTTGTTTTCAAAGTCAAGTTTTGACACATGGAGTACAACATTTTTCTTTGCGTGACTATAGAACAGGGAAAGAAATATTTTTGTTGTATTTGCTAAATTTTCTGATCTGCCTACTGAATCAGTTAATATTGATTGAAAAAACATCATAATTCTAATATTGTTTACAGGAGAGCAGACTTTTTGCGGATACCTGAGCTGGCGATCAATCCTTTAGGTGACAGAATAGTTCATGCTTTTTTCCAAGAGAGGTAAGGAGTGACATTTTAAGTTTCTTTTTTTTTCCTCCTCCATCTGCCTGTCAATCTTTTCTAGTTACTTAATTAGGAGGTCAAATTCAGATTCTTCTTTCCTCCGTGTAAAATATGGCAGTCTTGAAAATGTATTTTTAGGAAAGCATTCTTTGAAAGTATTTTTAATAGCCTTCCTTATATTTTGGCATATTTTGTTTATCTTTGTTGACAATGGCTTCTTTTTTGGATTATGAAATGTACTGAAAATAAACTGGTTATTTGGAGAAGGGGCTCATAGCTCAACAGGTATATTGTTTATCTGTCAACCCGGAGGTCCAGTGTTCAATCCCTGCCGTCTTCTTTTTATTTTTCCTCATGTTTTCCACACTATCTAATCCCCTGGCAGGTAGAATGGAGGAATAAGGTTGAAAAATCTCGTGTGAAAGTTTCACATGTTATTCTTTCAAGAGGTGAATTGATTTTCACTGTCCAGTCCCCCTGAACCGAATTAATTTGAGAACTTCATGAAATATAATCAACATCTTTGAATTGGAAACTGAATGAAGAAAAAACATGCAGTTAAAATTTTCAAAAAAATACTTTGTCACTAATTTAATTTGTTTGCTCGTCAGTGTCTTTGCCTGTGTGTTCGTCCTGACGTTATGGTGTCAAATTTCTCGTATAGTGTGAGTCGTACAGTTCAAAGCAGCCAGGGACACAAAGGGCTACCTCATACTTTTTGCATTGACATGCAGTCTGTTTCCTTTTGAATCACTACTGTCCCGATAAAATGCGTTGAACAGGTTGCTAACATTCACATTTGCAGCCTTTTCAGATTCGATTACTGCCTTAGTGACTGATGTAAACAAATTCCTAGACTGTTTTTTATTCCAGTTCTGGGTCTAGATTCTTGTTTGGAGCAGAAAAGCTAGGAAAATCTTCATTGAAAAGAGTTTAACTTAGTTTAAACCATTTTCTGTTGGTCCACACACAAAATCGGGTCTCAAGTGCCCATGATCGCAACTATACCTTGGCTGTTATAAAATTGAAAAGAGCAGAACCTTCTTGCCATCATCCGGGTAAAATTTAAAATTAATTCCTACTCAAACTTAAAGGCACTCTAGTCAGTATGAATATTAAGAAGAGTACTTTAAAAAAAACAATTCATGGCTTTCTATCAAGGGATGATTCTACCTTCTATATACAGATAAAACGTCCATGTGCCTAGAAATCAACTGCACTGTGAGATGAAGATTTTACAGTTGGTTTGTCTCTGAGCTCTAGCAGAGTACAAGAAGAAGACGGTCATGTAGTTTGTTTGTAATATTTTTTTATAAATCCCATTTCTTTGATGCAGTGTTAATTGTACTCAATTGGATACTTCTCTACATTTGAGAAAGGATTATTCTAATCTATTAATTCTTTGCATTTTGTTTGTTGTTTCATTTTGAAGGCTTGAAATTGTTATAGTTGTACTTTTTCGCATTTGTTTTTCAGCAATTCTGACACCGTGAACTTTCGCCAGTTTATGCGGGTGCTGGCACACTTCAGGCCTGTGAAAAAGAACGTGCAGAAAAATAAGCTGAATGACAGGGAGGAAAAGCTTAAATGTGAGTTTTGTCTCTTCTTATTTTTGTGTGTGTGATATGTTTTGAGTTTTAACACATTAGCCAGGCGAAACAGATAATTTTGGAAGCAGGCCAAGTGGTGTGATATTTTGTAAGAGTCTGTAACATTTTGCCACACCAGACTGTCTGCTCACAGGCAAGCACGAAAGAGAACCGAACAAAAGACATTTTAATTTTTGTGCCAAAGCTATTGTTGCTTATGAGTGCTCCCTGTTTGTGGGACAGTTGATTATTTCTACCCCATGTCCTGCTCTTCATCCTGTTTTTGAGAAAAGATATAGAGAGACTTTGGTGCTGCAAGTTCATTGGTGGACCTACTTTTGAGGAAGATTGCCGGTTTCAATCCTGCTCTATATGGCTAAAGATTCCACAGTTGTTGTCAAGATTTGAAATCTTTCTTTAATTTGCCTTGAAGATGCGTTGTCTTTTTCACAGTTGCCTTTACACTTTCTCTTTCTCTAATCCTCTTTCAAGGTATATTTATCCTTTTCGCTATTGCTTTCAAGATATATACCATGTGTATATCATAAGAATCTTTCTCACGATTGCTTTCAAGATAAGTAAGTGTATATCTATCGTTTAAAAAATAACGATAGTTTTCTGTAATTCCTAGAGGCAGTGCTCTACATGCCCTCCTTTGAACACATTTTTAATTCATCATTCGAAATGTTCAATGGTGGCTCTGATCCATGTCATCTCAGCCTACTTACTTACTTACTACCCATCATGCCATCTGGCATTTAGAGCAGCTACAAAGGATCTCCAGCTCTGTCTGTTTTGGGCTATCTTGGTCAACGTCCCCCACGAATGGTTCCAGGACTTAATTTCAGACTCTACTGTGCGTCTCCATGTCACTTTGGGTCTGCCCCTCTTGCAATGTCCTTCGGGTGTCCAGTGGAGGGCTGTCTTTACAATAAAGTCTGGTTCTCTTCTTAGAACACTCCCAATCCATCTTCATCTTCTCCTTGTTATTATGGTGGTCATGTCCTCTTGCCTACTTTTCTGTAAAAGATCTGCATTGGAAATCTTGTCGGGCCAGAAGATCCGGAGGATTTGGCGTAAGGTGGTTGTATGAAAAGAAGATAGCTTGGTACGATCATGATCAGTCATCCTTCAGCATTCAGATCCATATAGGAGTGTGGATAGTACACAGCTGTTATACAGCTTTAACTTGGTCTGTATACTGAACTGTCCTGACTTTCAGATGTTGATCATGCTTCTGTGTACAGATCTTGCCTTGCTGAGTCTGTTCATGATGTCCTCCTTTGTGCCGTCGTCAGTTTTGATTATGCTGCCTAGGAAGGTAAATGTATCTGTTATAGACATGTCTGTGTTGTTCACCCTGATCAGTGTTGGGGAGCCTACACTCAGTGTCATCACTTCTGTCTTCTTCTGGCTTATTCTTAATCCAATTTGATGTCCGTATTTGTGGAGTCGGTTTGTTTTTTCCTGCATGTGCTGGTTGGTATGGGAGAGTAGTGCAAGGTCGTCGGCAAAGTCAAGATTCTCGAGGGTGGAGAAGAGGGTCCACCTTATGCCTCTTGATGTATCCTCTGTTTTCCTCATGACCCAGTCAATGGCAAGGTTGAACAGAATTGCTGACATGTTGCATCCTTGTCTAACTCCTGTCTTTACCTTTACCTCAAATACAGTAGTACTGTTTCAAACGACGCACTTGAAATTTTGGTAGAAGCTTTAAATGACCTCAACTATCTTGCAAGGGATTCCATAAAATCGTAGAATGCACCAATTTGCCTAGCAAACATGAAAATGGTTTGTGTTGTAGGTTAAGATCTGCCTTGAGGACGGAGACTGGTGAGGTGTAGGAAAGTCCTAGTCCTAGCTGCAGACATCGTTGTAGACAGGTCTCATTGGAATTAACTACTGAAATGTGCACCCTGGTGACGTATAGGGCTGCAAATGGAGCATGTTCAACCTGAAGTGTTCATTTTGTTTGGGACCTTTTTGTTCTGATTCGCTATAGATCCAAACTGACGAAACTTCTCTACTCATGACACCAATTAAAAGTCTTGAGGGCACCTCAGCATTCTTTCCATATTGTGCGGGGAACTCACGAAATGTCAGGGATGGTGTGTTGGTGGAGAGGCAAAATGTTCAATACCAAAAGCTCTCCGCTCTTTACTAAACTTAACCATGATCTCACTAGGCAGAGGAAATTTGGGAAAAACAATATCTGCAAACTTCTGTTGACTTGTTAGACTGCAGTAGCATACAATAATATGGCGCAATTGTTGCAACTTTTTTTTGGCAGACCTAATGCGAACTATTACATCATGCTACAAAAATGGGGACACGGTTGAAAATGAGTTGTTTTCTTAATGTGTCATATAGACTGGCCCCGCGGAAAATTGCATTCTTGAAATAGAAAAATTGCAAGGTAAACTGCCTAAAAATTGCAACCTTCTCATCCCAGGCGCATTAATACGGGCTTAACATTTTTTGTTGTTGAAAAAACATGACAGTTTGAGTACCGGCAGCATAAAAGCAGAACAGCCTTTTTAAAAATCATGACCCACAATACAAATTTTATTAACAACATTTACTAGTAACAACATACGAGTATGTTAACAATAAAGTTATCGACCAAATATAATATAATACAGCGTGACCCAAAATAACAGAACCCTCGGTTTTTGTAATAACTTTTAAATGAAGGCATAAAATTCGACCAAATTTAGTACATTCCGGGTACTTGGTTCATGCAAAGATCTAGAAGTGTAGTATGACTCATGAGGTTTAGTCTGTAAAAACAAAAACAAAATTGATGAAAGATTCGAACAACCTCTAAATGCAAAATTAACTTATGCTCCAGTCAATTCAGATCCTATTTTATTTTTCTCTTGAAACCTTCAATACACCGGTAATCTGTATTTAGATCTATTTCAGATATTTTCTTTTTTAAAACCAGTATGGTATTGTTTTAACTCTAAGTCAAGTCGTAAAATACAGCAATTTTTTTCCCTCCTTTTATTAGTAATAATAATAATGTAGATCATTTCTGTAGCGACCACTCCCGTGTAAACGCAGCAAGGCGTTTTACATTTATTAAGGGAGTGTCTACGTACACAGTAACCGGGCATTTAGCCTCACTGTCTACGTATACGGTAACTGGTAACCGGGCAGTTCAGAACTCCAAAGTTCAGTTTTTGTCATCCGAAGTTGCCTTCAACCCCAACCCTCTCCCGACTGTACCTTTTTAAAAAATCAATAATTCCACCCATTCCGGAGCCCTATACTTCGCTGCGCACAGACTTTGAATGAACTTTGGTGACCCCAACCGGTACTCACAATGTGATACGCACGCACAGGTTCACTGACCGGTCACGATGGCGAGCCCGACAAGACGCTTGTACATGTATGACTTTCTTTTTTTTTCAACAAGTGACAGCACAGGACAAATATTTATTCATTTTCATTCCGGCTACCGTGTACATAGATACTCAGACTAGATGCCCGGTTACGGTGTATGTAGACACATGCCTCATGTACAAACAATATTGGCATGCGCGCGCACACACACACACGTACACTTTACACGCGCACACACATGCACACCACACACGCGCACACGCCTACTTTCTTATTAGACGCGCCCGCTTACACTTACATACATTAGATCTCTATGTCTCAGTTCCTGTTGTACATGATGCATTCCGGCCTGAAATTCCGGTTATAGCTTTTAGAGTACTCCCAGTAGACTAGAACTGGGCCGAAACCATGATTTACGTAGGCCTATCGGCTCTGTACTTGCACCATTTCGAATTAAAAATTCTGTTAAAATTAAAGCCTGGATGTTATTTTGCCTAAAATTGCAAGAAATTGCGAAAATTGCAAAAAATTGCGGGTTTATTGCGGAACTCGACGAAAAACGCGGCCGCAAGACCGTGGTTTCTTGGGGGGGCCAGTACAGAGCAAAACCATTCTGTGGAATTATCTAAAATGAATATCAAATTTCTTTTGGCTTCCAAATATTGTGTTCACATTTGAAACGCAAAACTTCAGTATGAAGGAAAATATTTTGTAATCAAGTTGTAAAGTTGTTGTTTTTTTATCACCTTGTAGTTGCGTTCAAGATGTATGATCTGGATGGGGACGACATGATTTCACGTGATGAGCTGCTCAATGTGCTTCATATGATGGTCGGAGCCAACATCTCGGACGAGCAGGTGAGTTGATGACAGTTGTGTGAACCTCTCATGATATGATGATCAGTAAATGGTATAAAGTTCAACACTGGAAAATGCCTAGTTGAAGTAATGGAGATTTAAAGCCGACTTATTCACCTCAGCAGTCTGACTGATCAGCTCAACATCTTCCTCATCACTACAACGAGCCGTCTTGTTGGCTCGGCTCTTTGCCTCTATAAATACTCAAACTATTCCGTTTCAGACTTTGTGAAACGATATCCATATTTTGTTTTATGAAATTGTTCTTTTTTTCATAATCCCCCTTTCAATTTCCTTTCATTTGATATATATATATGGTAAGTTTACTGTGCTAATCGAATTGGTAAATCAGTGACAAAACTAAACGTATGTTACAGTACAGGTGCTGCCAGCAAAAGAAATTACTTTTGATGAGTCTCAGATTACAGTAGACTCCACCTAAACGCAGGCCATACAAAAGCAGGCTCCGCTCAAAGGCACACTTTCGTCATCTCACGGGCTTTTTACAGTATGATTTAGATGTACAAACGCACGGTCACTCCCTCTAAGTGCACGCTCTGATCCACAAAACATGCCGACAGGTAAAGCTTGACAAATGGAAATGTTCGCTACAATCTGTACAGCTTGCAGAAGACAAGCCTAGACAACCGGATATTTGATGAGACTGGCCCTCACGCAGAACAAAGAGAGCGATAGACAGCGTTTTCACACCCAACTTTCCACTGACACAGATCTAGGTCTAGGACTGGTCGGTGAAATGTTGGGGGATTGGGAGGGCTGAAATGTTTTTTAATTTGTCACTGTGGAAATGCATCTTTGAAAGAAGGTTTCTGACTGGTGTTTGAGTGACTGCATGTAATGTTTAGTTAGACCTAGACCTGTGATGTGCAACACGCCGGAATGCTGTAAAACACTAGATAGGCCTCTATCAAAGGTTCATATAGATGCACGCTCTGGAAAAACACATGCTATGGAGCCTTCCCGAGCACTGTGCGTTTCGGCGGAGACTACTGTATTTCTTAAAGACTCTCTCTTGCCAAATTTATATTTTATGAGATATTGTGATATCCTTTCTCAGAGTTATTAAATGATAGTTGTGTTTTCTTCTTTTCAGCTGGGCAGCATTGCAGACCGCACAATTCTGGAAGTGGATCTGGACAAGGACGAGAACATTTCCTTTGATGAATTTGTGAAGGTAAGCAACTTCAGTCTGTGAGGTGGGGTGGCTCTCATGGTCTAGAGGTTAAGGTGTTCGTCACTCATTCAATAGGTCCCGAGTTCGAATCCGGATAGCGACTGAAACTTTTCTTCTCTAAACTTGTTTCCCTTTCACCTCCTTTCCTGCTCTCTAGCAATGTTCTGTCGTCTGCTTTCGTCTCCACTTTCTGCCCTCACCTCCTTTGCACCCTCCTCTGCAGCCTTTCTACTGCTAGTTTTTGGCTCCTTCTTACTGCTGTCTTTTAGCCACACCCCTGATCTTATAGTAGGAAAGATCTACACATAGCCTTCTTGGACAAGGGGGGAAAATCTCGGAGGTCTCGTGTTCAAGTTGCCCATGTTAAAAGTTAAAGATCCTTTGGCGGTCCAAAATCGATAAGAGTAGGCTTCGTTTGCCACCCGGACAAAATTCAAAATTTCCTACCAACTGAAAATATTTAATTTGTCCCTCGTGCTCATAAGACATTATGCTGTTGTGTGAGCCCCGTAAAACACTTACACCCCCCCCCGAAAAAAAGTCTTTGAGGGGTTGTCACATGGTCGAGTATTTCATTGACCTGTACTGTTTTCAGCTGAGTGAAGTTTTGAATGTCTCCTTGATGATGATGACACACAGTGGTTTTCTTTGACTTTGAGTTTATGAATATGATTTCCCAATCCTCATGTTGGAATGTCATGCTATCTCTTTTAACGGGAGGAGCTACCCTTGAGGACCATTTTCTATGTTTGTTGCCCGAGATCAAATCTAAGTACACATATAAGTTAGGCATTGTAAAATCTCTTGAAATGCAATTTTATTTTGGTGTAGCTACAGCGGTTGATTTGGAAACGGCCACCTTCTTGAAAATAAACAATGCATTTCAAATCCCTAAGGCTTTCTTATTTACTGACAAAATTTGACCAAATTTGGTGAGAGTATACCTGAACCAGAACCTATCAGAGTAGCAGCAAGTTTTTTTCAATAAGTATAAGTGCAAAAGAAAAAAAAAAGAAAATTTTCCCAAAGTATAAAAAACCTTTTCCTAAATTTAGGTTGCATAGTCGGTTGCCAATGGAAAAGTTGTTTTTTTTTGCAAATATCTCTGTTACATTGATGGCAAGGCTCTATGTTTCCTTAAAGTTTCATGTCAAAAGGATGAAAACTAAGGAAGGAGTAGGGAAAATACTGCAAAAAAAATTACATTTTACGAAAAGCGACAATAATTAATTGTGAAAATTCACTATATTAATCCATCCTCATGTTTTCAAAGGCAATTTACCAGGAGAATAAAAACTTTCTCAATTGTATCCACGCTATTTTTAGACCCAAAAAAAACTGGTTGATCTTCAAAATCAGCCAACATAAAATTTGCATAGCCTGATCCAAAATCTGCAAGATCAAGGGCCGCTCTTCCCCTTAAAGTGGTAGTAAATACAGCTTCTGGGAAATCTGAAGTAGTATTGGTCTATTATTGTTTCAACTTAGTCATTGAGGCTGGTGACTTGTAGGAAAAGGATGTAGTCACCTCTTCTTTTGTGGCACACTGTTCTAACCCTTTTGCGTGAAGTTAATACTTTAATAGACACAAATAGATCTTTTTGTACGGAGACCATGCACTTTGGGGTTTAGACCAGACCCTCAGTTGACTGATTGGCATGAGAGAGAGAGAGGGAGGGAGGGAGAGAGAGAGAGAGAGAGAGAGAGAGAGAGAGAGAGAGAGAGAGAGAGAGATTACTCCACAAGGTGGACTTTGTTGTATCCATAGTTAAGATGCTTCATTTTCCCCCGAGTCCACTAAACTGGTATTACTGGTAAGGGCAACTGGAGTAAACTGCTCGAACTATAGCGTCTGAACATTTGACACACTGCCGTGGTTCATGTTCCTGGGGAACTGAGATATACTGCTGGAGTCAACAGGCTGGGCAAGAGAGTTGTTCTGAAGCAGTGTGAGCCTTTGATGGAAAAAAGGATACAAAACTTAAACTAATCCGTCTTCTTTTCTTAATTGTTATTATGTTGCTGACTTTTTTTCTTTTTCTTACTCTTAATTTTCAGGCAATGGAGAGAGTGGATGTGGAGCAGAAGATGAGCATTCGGTTCTTGAACTGAACCTAGTCTGCACAGACAGACAGGCAGACATACACACTTTCTCTACCAGCAGTATCTGTGATGATCACCTCTGTTCAATTTGCGGACATGGCTTCTCTCTCCTTTAACAACTTTATCATAAATGAATTTTTTTTTGGGTTTTTTCCAGGGGGTGCTTGTTTTCAATAGGAAAATAGTCTCAAAATCAAAATGACAAATTGAAAATGATTGCTCATCAAACCATTATTGTCAGGGTACCGAACATGGACATGATTGTGCCCATTCCATTCTGCCATCAAGTATATTTTGAGTTACAAGGAAGTGTTATACGTTTGATCTCAATCTTTTGTGTTTATTGAACTGGCTTTTGCATTATGTTATGGTATGGATATTTCTCGATTGTTCCTATCATTGTGAGGAAGAAGCACAAAAAAAAAAAAGTGCAAATTGCAGCTGAAAAATAATTGTTCATCATTTAAATGTAGATTAACCTCAGGTCTTTTTAGTGTTGTCTCATGTAAAAAAAAGTCACATTTTATGCTTCACATTGTACTGACTGTATAGGAAAACCTCAGTGATATTTTCAATTCCAGAAACTGTGATAGTTACTGTGCATGTAGTGGTTAGGTAAAGATTGCTCTATCAGGATAATTGAAAAGACTAGGTACACAAGGACTTGTAAGCTGTGCTAAAAGAAGTTGGTCAATTGGTATGTGGTTTTTGTGGTTGGTTCTCGAATTCCCCCCCTCAAGAAAAAAGGTGGAAGCTGGGAAACTGATCAACAAGAGCCCAGAGAGTGGTGCCCCTTGAAATCTGCTGAGAATCCTGGTCATTTTTAGTTTTAGTCTCCCAATCACTGGGTTCTGTGGTGGATATCGCTATGCTATTCCATTGGGTACATGTAGTTAAAGAAAGAAATTTGTATTCGACCCCCCCCAAAAAAGCCTTTCTCTAAGACAAACATTCTTTGAAGTAGAGAACTTTGCCTTGAATCTTTCTGATCATACTGAGGTCAGTTGCAGCTACAAACATAATTAATTGATGACCAGGCTAACTGGTAAAAAAAAACTGGTGCTATGATGATGAATGTGGTGCTTGATCCTCTACATGATGACCTTTCATCAGGTGTAGTAACTGGGTCAGTTAGTTCTATTTTAATTTTAACTAAAAACCAAAAGGACATGACGTGTTTTGATTTGCACATTTGGCCCCCATCATTCTGTTGAGTTCTGTTCTCTCAGACTAAGAGAGTAATATTTTTCTTGCTCCAGTTTACCAACGATAGCCTCTGCAATATTCCGGTTGTGCTTTAAGCTGACAGAACGCCTTTTAAAAAATATTCACAGCAGTTTCGAGAAAAAGTTTTATTTTGTTCAGTGTAACCATTGAAAAATAGAGTGCATCCGAAATTTGAATTATAATTTATTAATAAACTAGTCTCAGTTTCACTTTGATTTTTTCTCACTAATAGGGTGATCAGCCTTTCGATTTAGCAAATAAAAAATTAGGTGCCAAAATGAAAGAAACGCATTTTGTCAGCTTACGGCAAAATTGTGAACGAAAGGTTTTCTTTCTCTGAGCCACTGTGTGACAGTCTGCAGCGTGTGTTGTTGTATTTTTTTTTTAACAGCTTGCTGTACTTAAGGCTGTCATTCCGTATATATATCTCATGAGATATCTCCGTGATTTTTTGGCTCATAAAAATGGGTTCGTTCCTTTCTTGGTTACCGGTTTGTCTTTTTCATAACTCTCATGAAATCACACACATGTTCATGACCCAAAGGCATTTATTATTTGCAGTTTATTATTATGTTTTCATTGTTGAGATCACAGGATTTAAATTAAATTTAAAAGAACAGTTTTAGTGTGCCATTTCACTTGGCATTTTGTAACACCATCTGGCTTAACACAGATATAAGGGAAATACACTATTAGAAGGTAGGCCTACTTCTATCTATCTTTAGTATGCAGAATTTTCTTTTAGCTGGTTTTCAAGAACAGGAAGAGTCTGGCAGTTTTTCCCCACACATACAATGACTTTTGAATCATGTCATCCCTAACTTGTTACTCTTGTAGTCAAATGCTTGAAACCACGAGTTATAGAAATTCTATCATTTGCCAATTCTAGGCTCTGTTGGACAAAACTGTGTCAAGTCTTGAGGGTATGAAAGCTTGCAGTGTGAAGGAATTATCCTTTTTCTTAACTCTTATTGAGTGACGTTTTCCCATCTTATTTTTCGCTTGTATCTGCCTTGTCCTTGTATCAATTTCATGATTGTACTTTTTTTTTTTGTAGTGCTTTTCAGCTTTTGATATTCAGAATTTTGATTAAAAGGGTGTTGATGATGTAACATATTGAACATTTCACTATCTGTACGATTGTGATTCAATTTTTTATTATATCATTATTTGTACCATGTTTATCCAATGATTAAAATGATGTATTTGAATGCATTTATTAAAATTGCCCTTCGTTTTTTCGCTGTGCAAGTGATGATCTTCCTCCACTTTGTTCCTGTCCAGATGATACTGTATATCGACGAATTGTCAGTCAGTACGTAAAATTGCCTTGCTGAAAAAAGACTTGTCCCTGATTCATGTTTCAAAGAGATTTTAAAAATCTTTTGAGTGAACCAGAAGATGGCAGTCTTAGTAGAATATTCAATTTATCCAGAGCATTTCCAACCCCTGATTTGTGGGCCTGGTTTGCAGATTGAAGCACACTAAATTGTGTTGATGGGGTCGCCACACATTTCAATGAAGCCCCTCAAGAGTAGAGCTAGGGATCAGGACTAATGTATTTGATTTTAATTTTATAAAATTTTATGTAGTGGTTTAGATGGACTAAGATATTAAAACTATACAACAAGCAATTGTGTGTTTCTTCTTCACCTTTTTGTTTTACGTTTGCTTTAGACTTAAGGTATTGGGCAAGAAACATCGAAAAGATGGTGATTACATTTCAGGTTCTTAATCTTACTGTGTCCCGGAGAAAATGTAGAGCTGGCCTCTCATAGAAAACCAACGGAGGATGAAAAAGTATGTAATTTTACTCTCAGGCCTGCCGAAAAAAATCCCAGAGGGGGGATCACCGACTTCACAATCTGAGCAAGCGCTCATTTCCTCTGCAGACTGATATGAAGATCTTGGAAGATGTAATTAGTTTAACAATTCATTATGTCACTATGTGAGAACCATTTATATATGTACACTCTCATGAGATTCTTTCCTACCCAAGCTGTCAGGACTGCCAGTGCCCCAGAGCAGCCATCGTTGAGCATGGCAAGTTTTAACCCTCGTAGCGCTTACCGGAAGCACTGAGCGTGCTCCGTGCCGGGCTCGCCTAGCCTTGACCGTTCGTGACCTGCCCCGGAGCGCTGGCCGCGTCATTTGAGGCCTACGCGGGGAAAGTTATTGTTTCTTTTTGTATCTTGACAGTATGCGCGCATACATTCACCAAAACCCTATACAAGCATACATTTCTAAATTCAGAAAGGACTTCATTTTCCAGAGATATGGTTTTCAAAATAATAAACTGAAAACTGTTAATGAAACCAATCATTCATTCACTGTTCAGCGCTAAAGGGTAATTGACCTAAATAAACATTATAGAGTCTATCCCTAACAGAACCCATGAAGGTACTCAGTGCCTTGAGCCCTGGGTTATTTTTTTCCTTGATTTTGATAGGTTGAACAATTCTACAGTAAAATTTTCCATAACAGAACTAATAATAACAGCTAAAGGAGACACTATTTGCTCCAAAAATAAGGTGTTCCCCCAAATTGACAATAGTCACCTCGCGCGTCTGGGAGCTGGCCAGCCTGTTGGCGATTATAGTCGCCTCGCGTGCTCAGCAGAGTGAGAGCGGGGGAGGAGTTTTGTTGCCTGGAGCGCTACGAGGGTTAAAGAAGGAAAACTCAAAAACATGTCGGACATCAATTCGAATATTTACTGACATTTTCAAACACACTGATTTTGAGGAAAATCTTCAAAGGAAACTGCAAGAATAATCTGGTGAATATTCATGTACTTCAATGTACTAAGTAAAGTAACAATGTTAAATCCAATATTTAAACAGGCTATACTTTCACAGTAATAGTTCGGTTGCATGCACTATACAACAGCATAAATAATGAACATTGCATAAGTATAGCCCACAGAGAACTAGAAGGAACTGATGTAGCAGAATCAAGTATACTGTCTCACTTCTTAATGTCATTTAAAAAAACAACAATTAACCAATAAAATAACGAAACTTATGTCCTTGCCACATCCATCCTCTAAACTGCTCTGATACACCACTGTAGCCAACAGTTCAGTGACACAAATACACTGCAAGTGAGCTGCAAAACACATTGAATTATGTCATCTTTTCTTCAAACTACGAAGCAGCAGTTATAATCTGGCTGTTTCTGTGTAAACATTGGATTGTGATTTGAACAATAATTTGTGACAAATCCAAGGTCTAAATGGCTCCAGTGAACACTGAGTGACATAGTTCCCCCTATTAACCATTAAAAACTCACAGCTTGTTAATATTAAGTTAATTGTTCTCTTCTTTATGAATGTGCACATTCCCATTAATGCAAGTTATCACAATCCATTTAAGTTGACAGAGAGACGTCTCTGCTGTGGCACAGCATTATCTGCTTTTAAAAATTATTTTCAAAGCAACAATTATCTAAATTTGTTCCCAGCAAAATATAACTACTACCTCAAATGTTTCCTGTCAGCCTCGTTTCCTGGAGCAGGACAAACTATACTACAGGTACTTATGAAGCTTTCAGCACCAAGAACAGCTGTTACAGCACTGGTCTGCTGCGAACTACAACAAAGTTGACAGGGAAGATGCAGAAAGAAAAACAGTTACACAAAAAAAATCTCTCTCTTGCTGAAAGATGGATAAATCTCGGTACAGTGAAATAGTCTTCCCAGATACTTATACTGCTGAAACATCAAAGTGATGAACCGACCCTGTTAGTGTTTCCAACAGTATACATAAAACAGTAACATCATACATTGATGAAGTTTATCCCCCTCGCTAGCTAATACACGCGCAGTCATAACACAAGTGCATAAGTTACCCTCGGGGGAACTTTGAGATGGTCTTAGTAACTCAAAATGGCCAAAAATGTTAGAACTTTCTCACTCTGGGGTAGTGGTAGCAACTAGTGCGATGATCATGAGGAGACAAATCATTTCAAAGGCATAGCATTTGATCGTCTGCCACTTATCCAAACTGAGAAGAGATGTACAATTTTTCAGCAAGGAAGAAGAGAAGAATACAGAAGCCATCTGAATTCTATCCTCAAACTTTTTTGAAGCAGTTCAAGTTTCCAACCAACTGTGAGCTAAACAAAGACATGTAGTTGTGTACACGTATCATACAGATCAATACAACAATGAAGTGAACCCACTCATTTCTGTCACACTTGTTAGCAACAGTCACTTCAGTCTTTCTGGCAGAGTGCATTATGTTGAAATCACATGTTCACGCATGCACACACGCCAACTTATCACAAACCTTTAAACCATAATATAGCAATGGGGCGGAAAATATCACCCTCGAGAAATTTGAAACAAAGAATAATTCTCCAATCTTTAGCCCGGTGACTAGACTTTCTTCAAATGATATAATGTTAGTGCCTAAAGAATTGTACAAACATCCACGCAAAAAAAAAAACCCCAAGTAAAGATGATCTTGAATCATCACCACTATCCTTTTTTTAAAAAACACTATGCCCCCACGGGACGCCGATCGGTTACGGTGTGATATAGCATGTACCACACCTGTATCCTTGTCCGAGGGGATAAGTGTCGCGCGCTCTGCGCACTGCGTGGGTGAAAAGCGTTAACCTCCCCCATGTCAACATATGCTCCGAAGAATACATCTCTCCCTCTCTCTCTCACTTAGACATGCTACAAAATACCCAGACACACAGAAGAATTTATATCTGCCATAACCTTTGTCCATTTTGCTTTCTTTCTCTTATACAGCATAGTATAACTTTTTTCTCGGCGAAAAAAAAAATGCCCGCTCTCTAGAGCCATAAATATTCCTCATTCTCCTCCTCTCCTCTCTTACCCCCACCCCCCGTATCTACAGCATGGCCACTCAGATGAGTGTCACAGCGCGCGCTCTCATCTCCAGGTCCCGCTGAGCCGTCTGTCTGCGGGCGGTCACGACCACCGGAAGGCGCCCACTACCCCGACTGTCACCACACGGCGCCGAGGCTTCGGTTCAGGAGGAGCTGGACACAGCCAGTTTCTTGAGGTGCTCCATGAACACCTGCAGGCTCACATCGTCCGTCAGCACCGGCACCGAGCCATCCTGGGGAGACAGGGACAACGGCCAAGTTTTAGGGGGTTTTTTGTCAGAGTTTGTTGGTTTGGGTAAAGAGAAGTGTACAATGACGACACAATAATTGGTTATTTGTTAGTGCTGGGAAAAAGTCAGACTGACAGACAGAAACAGCAGAGGGAAAGTAAAGAAGTAGGACCTACCAGTGGTGCCCTCCAACCACAGGCTTGGTGAGTTTTATGGTATTTCCAACACAAATGCATAAAAATAAGTGCTGAAGATTAGAGGGGTTACTCGAGTGTAACAAACAAGAGAAAGAGGAGAGATGAGGACGATAGATGTCTGACACGATGAAAGAAGGAGCATACCACACTAGAGCACCCGCAAACCACCCACCAACAGGGAAGGACTCCGTTCCAAGAATATAGAATGGGCAAGTAATTACGCCATTATAAAGTGTAGCATTTCCTGATATAGTATGATTTGACATATATTTATAACAAAAATTGGGGTATAAGTAGTATAACATTAACATCGTGTGACATGGTATGGCGTGGTACCATTAGGCAAAGTGTGACTTCATATTACAGACTGTAAGGCATGACTATGACACATTTCAACATGTTTTTAAAAAAAGGTTTTAGTAGAGGTTTTACGGTGCTTGCAACTGCATAAGGTCATATGAGCGCCAAGGGGTGGATGTCAGCAGAGAAGTCCTTACAGGGAATCAGGCTTACTCTGCTCACCTCTCTAGCTTCAACAGCACAGTCTGCTTAGACTATCAAGGCATCCCGGATATAGCAGGTCACAAGAGTGTGACAAAACATACAAAAGAAGCAGAGGAAAATTATGATAGTAAGGATTAGGAAAGTAAAAGCAGCAGTTCCCTGTTGCAGTTCTGGCACAGTTATGAGCATGACAGTGATGAATCAGACCATTTACAATTCTACTGTGCATAAGAACAAGTTTATGTCCACCCTTAGGGAATGGCCTAAAGACACTTCAATTAGTAGCACTGCCCCGGGGGGTTATTTCAACACGGTGTAGACAAATGTAAGAGGCAAGACCTTCAACTTAATGCTGAGCTACAACAGGCTTGAACCAAAAGGGAGGAGAGCCGTGAAAATTCTTCGAGTAATAAATTCAAAACTTAAGATGACCATTTCAGAAATTTGAGCCGGGGCTGCCAACAGTGAGGTCCACATGGACAGTGGTGAGTGAGTAAACTAAAGGCCTATATGTCAAACAGTTGCATTTATCACCTTGAAAGAAAAACGTTTATAAATGGGTTCATTTGTCCAACTAAAATCACAGTTACTTCAAGTATTTCCTTAAATATAAAAAAGACCCTGGATTTCTTTCGTTAAAATTATTAAGCATTCCAGGACCAAGTAATTACTTGCCAACATTGGTGGGTTAACATTTTTTTCCATAGCTGTAATAGCCTACTGTACTGTAATGTAAAGATCATCACTAAATATTTAAAAATCTTCTACAACTAAATATGTAAAGGCAAATAAGGAATATATTCCATGTCTTTTTTTTTTAACCCTGAAGGAATATATTCCCGTTAGTCTTGGGGCTTTGTAAAAACATTGACTTTACTTTATTTACACTTACACTTTAGATTTTTCTAAAAGAAGAAAAAAATGATATTAATCTATATCCCTCATATTTTATGGCTGTATTTGAAGAATACAGCTCATTGTGCAACAATACAGACGGCAAAAGACATTTTTAAAAAAAATCTTGGAAAAATAAATAAAGTCTCGACATGTAAATCTGGAGAACAACTGTATTATCCTCTTCAGTGACAGCTGGGTAATAGGCTACTTGCAGTGGCAAATATAACGACAAACGGGCACGCCGCTGCAGAAAGACCATATTCTTATGCTCGAGAAGGACAAAAGTAAAGCATAGATACCAGTGCACCACTCCCACAAAAACCTTTCACCATAATGACACAAAATGTATCTATCTTAAGTTGTTTTTTTTTTAAACCTGCCTCACAACCACAAAAATATTCAGTGGACTTTGCTTAAAACTGTGCTAAAAAGGGAACAAAGTAATTACAGATATATTTCAGGCGATAACTTATTAGATTCCCATCTTCTTACCAATATGGTTCAAGCATTATTAAGTCTAAAAACATTTAATCCACACTGCACTTTAAGCAAAGTCCAGGGTTCAAGGAAATTTTAGTACTGATTTCTTAAACAGATATGGAGAACACATTGTCACAAATAACTAAAAGCTATACCAGGCCTTACAGTTGGCTGGCATACAGGTTTATTGATTAAAGCTAAAAACACCAGTATGCTTTTGGAATCATGCAAATTAATCCTTTTGCTTCCATCACATCATGTATTAAGTAAAACTTCACAACACCACCACCTTCAATTTTCTTTAACCACAGCAAAGAAGGGGGGAAAAAAATAAATAAATTAAAAAAATAAGCCGATAAACACACCCAAGATCAACCCTACAGACTGCAAAGGAGGCAGTATTGATAAATTCAGGGGGGAAAAAATAGTTTGGCAACATGGAGAAGAAAACAAGGGCAGGACAAGTCTCTGTCAACCAGCAACACCCATGAACATAGCCACTCATTACATAACCAGCAGGGCAACCCATTATACTATTTTAAGGCTATCAGAACAAAATCTGAAGAGAAAAAAAACCCCAATCATTTTGCAGCAGTGTTTAAGTGAGCGCTTCAAATCATTATTCAATAGTAATTGTGGTCTACAACATTAATTTAATATTCAGTAATCTCTAGAAATCCAAAAGATGAGAAGTTGCCTATACATGTACCAGGTTTAACGAGTCAGAGGGCAACTTTGTTGTTTTTAATAGTTCTCATACTCAATATCCTCCACCCCCTTAAAAAGCCAAAATTGCAATCTATCTGAGTTTTTTTTCTTCTGAAAGAGCAATTCGTGGACTTCACATTTGTGAATTTCATAGGGTAATAGTGGAGAAGCTACAAAAAACAAACAAACCAACAATTTTCATGGTTTTATCACTTTTAAAAAGTCCGCTTCATTTTACATCTTCATCTATTATCCCCTTCTTCATATTTGGAACAGTCTCAATAAGTATAAGTTTACATTATAAGGAATCGCCTATTCTCTAAAACTTTTTTTTCAGTAGGTCATTCAATGCTGTTGCAAAATAAGACATTCAGATTTTGTTCAATAGCCTGAAGACCCCACAAGCTGAGCTCCTCCTACAGGAAACCATGTCAAGCCAGACAGAAGACCAGCCAACAGTAGACCTGCCAAACTCTATGATCATCAAAACAAAATAATTTTTCAGAATCTTCTTTTAAGAAAAGCGGTTCGGATTTTTAAAAAAATAGGAATCATACAGACTTCAGTATGTTAACATCACATAGTGAATCAGCCAAAAAAAAAAAAAAAAAGGCCTGTAATAAACATTTAAGTCTTTGCAGCTACTACAGAACAGGCGAATCTGGTATAGAAAAAAACTCAGAGAAAATGTTGTAATTATTTGTATTTTCACTTCCCTTACACGTCATTCATATATGGCCGGGCTGCATATTGTTTGTAAGTAAAACAAGAAATTTTTTCTTTTAAAAAAAAGTAAAACTGATTGGGTGTTTTGAAGTGAAAATAACCCCCCCCCCCCCAAAAAAAAAAAATCGAAGCAGGTAGAATTTTTATCAAGGCACTTGGCAGATCTACTATGGCCATTTATAGGAGCCCAAGGGTCACCGAAATAAAAAAGAAAGAACATGGGGCCATTTACAGCAGGCTCTGGTCCTGCCGATCCTTCAGTCATGACAATCTGTGACGTGGAGGAAAATATGGCAACCGTTGACATCATTCATGCGAGGGGGTGGGTGAGGGATGAGGGATAGGAGTGTCATATCTCCAGTGGGTGTATCAGAGTTTAACCCTATCCGTACATTGTGTTTTACTATCGTATCCAGAAGTCCACTGACTCATTCACTGTCAGTTTGAACAAGTAAAAAAGTATGACAATGGACAAGAATAACAGATATAGGTCCTCCCACTGACACTCTGTAAGTACATCTACTTCTCAAGTGTGGTCACTTTGACGACTTGAATAACAAGAGAGACACCCCTCCTCCCCCACACTCACAAAATTTGACTTAAAAGAGCCTTTTTTCTTTAGCTATAGCCACTTTATAAACACAATCAACCTTTGTGACACAACACAAGAACATTCTTAAAATTTATGTTGATATTGAAGATTTGCAGAGACAAAAGTGTCTAGTGTATTTGTATACACTCTTTCTCTCTTTCTTCTACTAGGACACCCAGTTGGACTACATAAAAGTTTGTACGACCATACTTCACTTGAAATAATCAATTCTGAACGCAGGGGTAACACATCCCTAGTCCACAGAGCAGACCCCCAGGTAAGTTTACTTACCAACCCCTGATTTACATATATTGAAAATTCTTTCTTTCAATTACTACTAAATGGTCTGTCTGATACTTTTCAAGATGGGCAATAGACTACCTCCGATAAGTCCACAGAAACACAATAGTACGTTGAGAAATGAACAGACAACTATTATATATATTATCTCCATTTGAGTCTCTTCTCGAGTTTCTCACTTCACATAAAAAATGTAATAATAAACCTGGGTTCTTAAATATTCAGCTCTGAATATTTTCCCCCTTCAGTTTCACTCTAACTTCACTGAAAACCCCCCACAAAAACCCACCATCTGTACTACATGCAAATCTGAGGATTCTCTGATAACAACCTCCAAGACAGTGTACTTCTACTACAGTCACGGACAACTCTATCCTCCACTTCTAGTTAGTGTGTGAGCATTTAACACTCCTATTAATACTATTATGCTCTACTTCTGACTGTACACATCACAAAACAAACAAAAAAATCCACAAACCACAGAAAGGATTTACATGTATCATGCCAGCATAGATCCCAGAGTCATTCAAACACAAAACTCTTCTCTGATCTCATCTGAACAGAGTAAATCAAGGCTTCATGCAAATCTGTCTTTTGCAAAAGTATCAAGATGCACTAAGCAGCGGTTATATCCTTTTTAAGTCAAGGAATATAGAGTCTCAACTTTAAATTTACAGGAATCTGAAAGACAGTGTTGTACAAAACAGACACTTTTTTTAACTAAACATATACTGATGAGATCTTAGAATAATTGTTATTCTGAGATCATGTTTAAAGAAAAAGAAACAAAATGAACATCACGGAGAATAAAAAATTAAAGGGGCAATTTGTGTGAGATCAGAAACAAAGCTGGACCCTTGATGGACCAAGCCTTCAGAAACTGATGTCCTGACAGAACACAGTATACTGTGACAACCTCATAGGGTGAACCCAGTCACATTTAGAATTAAACAAATAGAAGACAGCACTAACCTGATTGTAATTGAACTTTTGAAAAGTCATGTTTTATGACAAAACATTTAAGATTAATTTTTCTTCAATAAACTAACTACGTCAATCACATTTCACATGAAAAACACGTATCACTTCTATAACCTGGAGATCCAACAAGTCAAAGCAACATCTATTAAAGCAAGTAAAAATCTATGCTTGGAATTCCGTTTCAATAACAAAACATTGTGCACAAAATGAATCCAGAGTGTCTTCATCATTTATAAACACAAGTGTAGCATGGGATAATGTCTGTGAAATTATGTTGGAGCAATATAAAACTGGACTCACCTGTCCTCCGAAGCCGTACATGTTGTTGTGTGTCTGTGAAGGGTTCACCTTGGACAGAAGGAACCGAGCCTGCACAAAAAAACAAACCAGTCAGAAAAGTTCATTTTTGTTAAACTACTAAATTCCAAGAGTGCTGAAAGCTTCTCATTCCTAGTACAAATGATCAATAATTGAGCTGTTTTGAGAAATCATGGAGGGAAAAGCAAGCCAGCCTGTAAGAAACAAAGAGCTTTTTAGAAATCACAAGGATAAATTCTAATTATTCTCGAGACCTGTTATTTAAGAAAAGCATGCTGATCCAACAACTCTCATACCATTTTCATGAGTTTTTTCCAGTTTTGTTTAGATTGCTTTTTTTATTAAAAAAGTATCAACGGGCTGCCAGATACAATGATCATTTTGAAGGCCTAGGATTTGGCATTCTGACAATAGTCTAAAAGAGAAATATTCCACAAGAGAAGAGAAATATTTGGACCTCAATGCCCATTGTGAAGATCGTAACCAAATACACATTAGCAGTCGATGAAATCATAAAATGTCAGAGAAAAGGAAAGAGCAAACACAAAATTAAGATATGAATACCACCAAAGACATTCAACAAATTAGAAGTGCCTTCCTCATGCTCAGCAAAATTTTTGGCCCAAAGCTTACATATTATGAAAAAACTGCAAAGTTAAGCAGTTTGTCACTGTGGCACATATGAACCTATGATGCAATCTGTCTTGCATCAGAATTTTAACATAGCAATATGTCTTGCATCATGAAATTACCAACATAACACATGTGTAAGAAATCCCTGATACAATCTTCATAGCCCGAGGCATCGTCCAAGACTAACATGTAAGAGCAGTGAAGAATCAGGAACCTGATTAAAATTTCAAGACATTTTTTTCCCTATGAGATGATCCAGTATTAGTTTTTCACATGATCAGATGACTATTCATTAAAAAATGTGACTACTTAGAGTAAGGCTCCGCCAAAATGCCAATAGGAAAAGAAACGCGTGACTGAGACTTTACAAAATATGTTTATCAGATGCAGACGACACTGTTGAATTCTGAATTGGAAAACAGTATGCAAGATATGACTTCCTGAATTATTACAAAGTCTAACAAAAAATAAAGAAAAACCAAAACAAAAGAACCCCAAAACAGGACAGAAGTTTTTATTTAAAAAACCAACAAAACAACAAATATGCAACTAAAAAGACAGATATTTCCCCATGTCAAATGTAAAGCCACAGTCCCCAAAAGGTTGTCTCACCTGTGATGCTCCGGCCTCCGTCACGATGTACCTGGGCATGGGGAACCTCGTCTGCAAAATTTCCTGGGCATCATCAAGTGGCGCTTGCAACAACTGTTTCAGGTTCTCATACTCTGGGAGGTCCTGGTAGCCTTGAGCTTTCCACTGGGCAATAGTCTGAAAAGATCAAAATATAGATAAATGAAAAAGAGGAAAGTAAAAAGTAGGACCTATGAGAATTGCCCTCCACCACCCACATCAGGCAGGAGAAATATATTTTTTTTGTATGGAAAAAGACACAAACAACAAAAGGAAAGAAAAGATCCACCAGTGTTGCCATCCAAACACACGCTGAGCAGTAGATCGGGTCAAGTATTGACAACAAAACATGACATGTGACCGACTGTTAGGTTGTAATTTGGTTATTATTTTGTCAGGAATGAACAAGGATAACCCTAACATTAAAAAGAAGTAAAAATAGTTGTTTTGCAAAGTCTTAGTCTTGGGATAGGGCAAGACGACAACAACAGGCAGAAACAAAGGAAGGACAGCAAAAAAATAGGACCTTCCAGTGACACCTTTCACCTTCATGGCAGTAGTGAATAAATTGAAACAATAAAGCAACACTGCAATTACACAGAAACAACTTGGCACTGAAGTGTAATCTAGTACCAAAACACAACACAGCACTGTCCTACAAGGGATGGCAGTGGGGCCATATTCCATAACAAGACACCTTACTATGGAAAAGACAATACACTATGGTCATGTCACAACTCCTAATCTCCGGCAAGCTGCTCCCAGCGCTGTGCCGGTGGGCCCCCTGGCAGCAGCTCAAGCACATTCCTTTACAATCACTTCGAAGTCAAATTGCTATTGCTGAAAACAGGTCTCTTTTATCGGAAGTTCATTTAATATATCAATAACTATTGAAACAAGTTCGTTTGTTTTGATTTGATGCCCAATTCAGTGACGAATGTCAATTTTAGATTTTGTATCAAAACAGGGCCCCAGCAAAGTGTGTTTACCCCCCCCCTCGGAGATAAGGAGTTAAAAACACCATAATCATAAATATCATTATATTATAAAACAAGATTTTGCATTTCACTCACCTCTCCATGATATATAAGAATGTGGAAAAACGTGTCCATAAGAAGAATTCTGTCTGCTTGCATGCTGCTACTGTCCAACAGTACAGGCTGAAAGAAAAAATAGTGGCAAAAGATACGTTACAGAAAACTTAACACAGACAAGAAAAAAATTTTAAAAAGGATGAAATCAGAAATCAAGCTGAATCTGTGAGTAATACTGCTCCTTGTAAGAACAACACACTGGTTCCAAAGCATGATGAACAAACAGAAACACTCTTATGAAAATAAACACAGATAAAAACGCTACACCTGAATACAGTTTCAAATTTAAACCCTGAAATTTTCTGTAAATATCCAGACACATTCCACCCAAAAAACCCCACCAAAATTGGAACCAAAAGAATTTTTCCAGTTGAGAGGGCAATAAAGAATGGGGAACATCAAGCAAAAAAAATTTATCAGGGATATGATGAGATTGTAGCTCTCCTTCACAACACTATAAGGTCTTCATTAAACATCCATCTTAAAATATTTGACACCCATCTTAAACAGTCAGATGAGTGGAGAGCTAAAAAAAAATACTCCTCGAAAATCTGAGTTCAAGAGTACCCTGATGCGGGCACTCGAAATAACTCTGCTATACTACAGAAAATAATTGTAGTAAGTTCCAAACAAAGAATGACAAAACTAATTTGCATCAGTAAGCAAGATTGCATTATAGCAACCACTACTTGAGCTACCCGTTTACCTCTGGGGGGCCGTGGAAGGAGTAGGCATAGAGTATGGGCTGGATCATGATGAGTGACTGAGTCAAGTCTTCCACGTTGAGCATGTGTCTGGGGAAAAGATAATATAAACATTGTATGCTCGCATGTGTCTCAGGAAAAGATGACATGAACATTGTAGGTTACGGAAAATTGTGTATGGACAAAATAATATGAATATTGTATACTTGTTGGAAAGATGATATGAACATTGCATGCATGCATGTATATATAGGGAAAAGATGGTATGAAAGGGGTATGCTCGCGTTTGTTAGTGCTAAAACAATACATCCACTTGCAAATGACCTTTTTGCATCCAAGAGGACACTGAACACAAAATAAGCCAAGTACATCCATGACCATAAGTGGCAGTACAAAATAGCCTTGCACACGAACATATCACAAAATGATATTGAATTAAAGCCAATATACTGCTCGGAGGACAACAACATAGTACAGACCAACCTGCTCTAACAGTCATCTGTTAAAGACAACTGTTCAAACAACCACTTTCCACCCCCACCCTGCACGTTAAAAATATATTATGACCACTTTGCCTAAGACAACTGATTTTCTCCTTTACAATGGATGGCCGCCTTGGACACAGTTTCCATTGTAAGGTAAGCAGAATAAGGAAGAACTCACCTGTAATAGGAGGTCTCATCAGGACTGTTGTTGAACACCTGTAAAAACTGTGACCTCCTCAGGTGAAACATAAACTGCGGGTACAGGGAGAAATTCTCCGAGTAGCGAAACGAGGTTGGATCATCCTTGTGGTAGTCCCCAAACTTCTGACACTACAAACAGAAACGGAAAGATTTTAAAAAGTGAAAATCTGAACACACAATATAAACACATATCAGTGAATAAAAAGAAAGCAAACAGAACAACAACAATAAAAAACCCAATTAATGAGTAAATAAGACTTTCATTATTTTATAGCAACAAAACCTGAGTGACCAGTGTAACAAATGATCACGATAGTAATATGTTGTTAAATGTAATATGTCACTCACAAAAAACAGAAATAAGCCTAGCTGTTAAGAAGCAGTAGGATAAAAACTTGATGACCCAAAAAAATCCTTTAAAAAACAAAAACGTTGCAGATTCAAGTCTGAGGGGGACCTTTAGGTCAAAGACAAGAAAAAGGAAGAAAAGCATCAGCAAAAAGAGAAAAAAGGAAGGAGGAAAGGTTATTCAAATTATATCCAAAATGGTGGTGAGCAGCCAACATCTTCAGAACAGCAGACTTTGCTGCTTCTAGAGAACTGAGCGACTTACCAAACGTATAAGCATACGATCCAGCCAGCGAAGGACATCTGGCCCATCGTCAGTCTCGGCTCTGTACACGGCTATCCTCGCCATCTGAACTGCTGCTGCCTCCTGATCAAAGCCGGCAGAGACGTGGTGGATATTGGCACTGGCGTCTGCCCAGCTGAGGAAGAAACAGGCCAGAACTTAGAGCTAAGAAATTGACGAATTTCAGGAAACGCTCTCAAAGAAGAAGGAAAAATATTGGAGAGGTGAGTGGATAGTATACAATGAATGCACGGAAGAAGTCTTGGTAACATATGAAAAACCAGTATCTTGAGTAAAAGAGAAAATACATTTAATAAATCAGTGAAATAACGATTATGTTCAGAAGTAGGAGCAGGCTATATAAAAGCGTCAATCAACCATGTGTGGGGACACTGGAGAGACTGAAAACTCGAATACATTTCAAAGGAAAGATGAAACACAATGTTAAAAAAAACCAAAAGCAGACGGAAGAAAAAACGATTTTGTGACTTATGACAGCAAAAAATCCCACCATACCTGCGAGCCACAGTAGTGACGCGAACTCTTCGCTCTCCGCTGGAGTGCTGGTACTGTGTGATAAACTGTATGTAGCCCCGGCCACCCTGAGGTATAGGTGCATTGTGCTGGGGAGAAAAACCACACAAACATCATAGCTGAAGTCATGAAAGGACACTTATTTATATAAGTATTAATTTTAAAGATGTAATATTTGTCTGTTTAAGCAGAAAAAAGAAACCTAGTACAAGGAATCTCAATTTTCTGTGATATGCTACTTTCCATATAAAAGAATATTTATGAAGTAGTAATATTGATTAATAAGACCATATATGACAGTGCTAGACCAATTAACACCATCAGTGAGTTTTAAAAGTTGACACTATAACACATACTGAAGACCACAGATAAGTTTTTATTTAAATTGACAGAGCAATAAAATTTCAGCAATAAAAACCACGAATGAGAAAAAATTCAACACTGCCAGAAATGAAATTAAGACCACAAACAAGTTATGAATCTGATACTGTCAAAAATCAATAAGCCTGCAGACGTCAAAATATATCAACGACACGTTTACAATACTCCATCAGCTAAACAAAGCACTGTGAACCCCCTCACCTGATTCACGACTTCAAAGCAGATGGCGAGTGAACTGTTAGGGTAGAGGCCACACATCTTCCACTGGCACGTGCCACCCAGACCAATCTCTGTGTCCGACACGGACGGACCCTTCACACCCAGCGACACACATGGCCCGATGGCACCAGAGACCTTCAGCTCCCGGGACGTCTGCAGAATGAGCACAAAAAAATAGTAAATGTGAGCATCTGAAAGTCCTCTATTGTAGGTCAAAGCTTGCGTGCTGCACTCATAGATGTGTTGCTGTCCTTACGTGTATATAATTAATGTATGGCTGTGATGGTTCTTCTTCATGTGGTTGAACTGGTTCTTCTTGTTACTGTGAAATATTTTATCTTTTGTGAATGAATTATTACTTTTCATGACCACGTGATTGATGTACAGTACTCATCATTTCTACTTGTATGGGATAGACCGCAATATGAATGCAATCTATTATTTTTCTCACTAGCAGCCCCTCGCAATGTGCTACATTTATAAAAATAAAAACATCCCACAGGAGTATTTTCTTCAGTATATAAGTAGCCCCCAAACGAGAGTATGCTCTTAGTTACAGTGCACAAGCATGCCCTTTTTTGTTTAGCCACCTGCTTTTTACTTTTATTATCATATTTCTACCCGAGGTGTATGAGTCTGGTAGCCTAACCACTAGGCCACTGACGCCACCACACCAAAGCACCCGCCAACCACCCGCTCACAAATTTGAATCACAAATCAAAGAAAATTCTTACCTTAATCTCAAGAGTTGCGCCAAATCCCATTTTAAATTCTCCTTTCTGGTCGCGGGAGAATACTCGTTGGAAGGTCTGCTTGAACAGTGACGTGTTGAACGAGTCTCCCATCACCATGTGGCCACTGAGGGACAGACAGACATTCCTATTGTTAACTGGGGAGGGGCCAATAGCTCAACTCTTATCTCACACAACAGCTAGACTGACCAAAGTTTGAATACCCAATCGGGCTTGTTTGTACCTGCATCAGTAAGGACAGTTTACAGCTCCTCTTGAGGAGATGGAGGTGAAAATCAGAGTTCTGGCCTCTTAAAAAACAAACACTGCTGAAAGGGTCATTGTAGTTACACCCATAACTATGTTACAACTGTGACAACACTGTAAGTAGTTTTATTACAAAATGTTACAACTTTCACTCAAAGAATTTTCTAGTTAAAGGACACAGAAATAGAAGTTCACAGCTACTGGCTAGTAACATTCAGCACATTTCGGTTCATGATGTCAAGCGCGATTCTTAGCAAACCTGGCGGTCACCTCATGGCTGTTACAGCCCTCTAATTTCTAAGTAAAGCAACACAGGTGTCTGGCCTACTTTTGACAAATTTAAAAAAAAAAAGTTTTGAGACAAAATCTAACTATAGATTTAGACAAAAAGCAGCAAGAGCAAGTAATATCCATCCAGCACCCTAAAGAGAGTTTGAGTGTCAGTTTTAACCACCACATTCTGCCCATAATACTCAGTGACTCGGTACAAAATAATTGATTTTTAAAAAGTGATGTTTAGTTTTTCTCTTTTAGAAAGAGTTTTACTGCACTTGCAATACAATTAGGTCACCTAAGTGCTGAAGAATAGAGATATTACTGGAGAGTAACAAACAAACAAAAATAAAGGAGGAGAGATAAAGATGATGGATGTTTGATAAGAAAGAAAGAGTGGAGCAAACCACACTAGAGTGCCTGCCAACCACCCAAGTGACATACCCCGTGTATTTTGGGCAGAACTTCATCTCATGCAAACCAGTCTGATCCAGGGCACATGAATAGATGTCTATCACATGGCCGTTATTTGCTGCACGGTTTCCCAGAGCTTCGTAGTGCTGTGGGATAAAGTCAAAGCAAAACAAAGATTGTAAATGGATTTCGTCACTTTCTTCCCCATGGAAGAATTGTACTCATATCTTCTGAGTGAAAAGCAAAGAACCTATCAACTACAGATGCTTGTAGACAGACTAAATGTCACAGTATGAAAACAGACAAGGCCAATTTGCAAACTTAAAAATTCTTCTTTATACCAAAAGTTATCCCCTCTACAGACAAGCACTTGAGGCAAACATACAACAGGTACTTGAATTTGTTTGCGGTCCCCCCCAAAAAATTAAATTAAGATTTGAAACTTTAAAAAAAATAAAAACTAGACTCAAAGCCATGACAAGAAATTACATTAATAATCCAAAGAACATAAGAGTAAAAACCCACTGTCTTTATGAAATTGGATCAAATCTTCACAACCAATCTTAAAAATGTGTCCTCCGTAGGAACAAATAAAATGAATAAGAACAATACAAAGGAGGATGGGGAGAATGGGAGGGGAGGGCGGAGGGCAGAGGGTGGAGGGGGGAGGGCGGAGCAGAGAGAGAGAAAGAACAGAAGTCATTAATACCTTCATGGCTTTCTTCATGTACTTGCAGCTGTCCTTCTCGATGTCATGATGTGATCGGATCGGGTGTTTGAGCTCATCATCCACCACCATGCCAGGGCCCTGGGTACACGGGCCACCCATGAACAGCATGATGCGAGCTCCTGTGTTGGGGAACGTGCACTGAGCAAGAGAAAAAACATTTTATATAGAACAGAACATTCAAGTGATGTTTGCGTAAAAGAAAATCTACCAAAAGAGTGAGCGATATATTTGTGATGGAATCAGATCAATTTTGGGGCACGTGGTATTGTCTTTAAGCTTGTTTATTTGCCTTATTTTTTAGGAAAAAAAATACCCAATCATCTTGAATAGAGGTCAAGATATTTGTGAAAATGGCTGTCAAAATTTGGTGACTTCCAACGCTTGGGAGAACTTGGAAACTGCAAATTTACATTTTTTGGAACCCTAAATCAACTTTTTTTCCAGTAAAATTCACACAGAAATTTTTTCTTTGGATATAAAAGGTGCTGAACCAAAAAACAAAAATTCGGTAGATATTGCCAAAGGGGCAGAAAAATGCAAGATTCATAGAATTCATTATTTAAACGAGCGCCTGATTTATTACGACACCTCACATATACCCTGGTTCCTGCTCACAGTCAGAAGAAGGAAGAAAATGGTGGAGGAGGAGGAGCAAAAGGAGAAACAGAAAAAACAACGGTAACTAAGTAACCTCCAGCAATCCAACAGCGATAGAGAATCAGAAGAAGGAAGGAGGAGGAAGAGGAGTAGGCGCAAAAAACAACGGCAACTAACCTCCAGCAATCCAACAGCGATAGAGAGGGCAGCCCCGACTGAGCGCAGCGGCCTCTTGCCCTGAGCCACCGGCCAGGGGTCACGCTGAAGTTCTCCCAGCAGGTCTGTCAGGCTCATGTCACATTTGTGCACAGGCTGCAGGAATCTGACCACAGAAAAGATGACAAAAACCATGACTCACGACTGTAACATGAGTAACATTACACAGCAACGCCATGTTATTTGTTGATTTATTTGCCTCTAGCACCAAATTTGTATTATTCCCTCTTCACAGAAGTGCAAAATTAATCAACATTTTCCTTGTAGCAAACTTGAAATTTTATTAATTATTGTTTGCAAACTAAATCAAAAACCCTAGTCAGCAAATGAGCGTGCAGAGGTGGGGGGTAGGGTTAGAGTTGGGTAGGGGGTGGACTTCTTCTGTTCCAGTTTGGTTGTACTGAGTGGTTAAGTTGGTCTGACAATGACTAGATTTTCGTCCGCATAATATAAAGACAACAGTAACACTGAAAAGAAGTAGAAAGAAATAACAATACTAGAGCTCTCATCAGCATACCTTTTGACCTCTTTACTATGACTTTCCAGAAAGAAATTAACAAAATGCTACACACACAAAAATTAAAGAGATTTTCGCATCAAGCTTATAGCAACCAAAAACTTGGCAGCGGAGCCAAACGAAAAGGTGAAAAAAAAAAGATAAGAGTTCTGTACCCCCAGACATGGAATTTACTGTGGGCGAAGTAAGCAGATCTTGGACAATTCTCTTCTCTCTCTCTCTCTCACTCTGTCTGTCTCTCTCTTCCACTCTCTCTCTCACCTGTTTGAGGGCAGCTGAAACTGCTGTTGTTGCTGGCCCTGGGCACCTCCGCGCTGCTGCTGCTGTGGGTTGCTCTGTGCGTTCTTCCCAATGCCAAGCATCTCCTGGTGGAGCACAGTGGCAGCAGAATGAGCTTATATTCTCCAATGTCTCTTCATAATTCTCATCAGAACCTTCATCAAGTCCTCCTTTCCAGTATACCTCATCCTCACAAGTCTTATCTATGTATCTATCTATGCATCTAGATACTTATCTATGTATCTATATTTGCATCTGGTAAGCTTATCTATCTATGTATCTATCTAAATTATCCAGGTATCTATGTATGTAGGTATCTATCTTCAAAAATAGTATCAGTCTAAAAAAAAAGACAGACAAAAAGCAACCCATGATCATAAACATTTTCATGGAAATCTGAAATCATCAAATTGCTCTTTCTTTCTTTCTTATCAAACATATATCATCCATATCTCTCCTTCTTTTCCGTGTTTGTTACTCTCAAGTAACACTTCCAATCTGCAGCACTTTTATGACAATATTGTGCAGCAAGTGATATAAAACTCTTTCTAAAACTAAACAATTACTAAAGATTGTATTTTAACTCCCCAATACTTTTCAATATTGAAAACAAAACAATGATTTTGCCTTTGAGGCTCATCTTGTAACCCTTGGCCCCATGCTATTTGGACATCAAAGAGAGAAATTTGAACTGTAAATGTCAGGTTTATCAAAGAGCCTGTTCTGCTGTACATTGCTCTGTCCCACAAGTTTTTACCATACCTGGATTTGTTTGGCGTTGAGCTCTTTGGTTCCCCTGAAGACGTACGACTTGGATACCCCCTCACTGCCCAGTTCGTGAACCTGCACCATTTTGCCATAGGTGATGAGGCCGATCAAAGCGTTGGGCGGGAGCAAACTCAAGGACATCTGGAGTGACTCCTGAAGAAAAAACAACAAACCAGCACATCAGAGAACACCTTGATACAGTATAATGTTGATTTAAGCAAGAGCTTTATAACTTGTTGCCAAAACATTTCAATGCATGAATAGAAACAATTAACTGATAATAATCATTATCAAAGACTCCATGTCTTTCCCAGCTTCAAGTTTAAACTTTTAACAAGATCAAACATTACCATCCAGTACTTCCTTGAGTGACTGGGACATGGATAAGTGTTCAGTCTGGAGTATGGAGAACACACATAAAAAGAGAGAAAGATTACCTTCAGGCCTTGCAGATCTTCATCTTCAGGAAAGCATGTGTCCACAACCAGCAAAAAGATTGGTGGGTGGCATGTGGCACGCTGAAATGGGTGCAGAACAATGGAAGAGTCAGCACTCACATGCTATAAGTTCAGGTGAAAATGAGCAGAAATTTTTAAAAAGATGAGACCCAAATGTCACAATCTCAGGTAAACATTTCTGTATTCATATAATAATTATGTACTTTTTTTTCTTTAACTATATTTCATTCTGTTTCACAAAATGTCTTTTAAAAAGAAAAATGCTCACTATATTTTGTGTCTAAAAGGACATTTTTGTTCCTAAATTCCACAACATTTGATAAAGTAGAACATCCATCTCAGCAATTTGAGCAATTTCATTTGTGTCTCCCCCCCACCCCCCTCCCCCTAAATTTCAAACAAAGAAAGCAGTCCGCTTCATCTGCTAAACAGAGGTACCGCAATAAAAAATATGTGTCATGATGCAGTGGAATCAGGCGCTCGTCAATTTTTGGGCATGTGCAGTTATTGGTATCATCTGAAAGTTTGTTCCTTTGCCTTGCTTTCTACAAAACAAATGCCAGTCTATCTTGAATAGAAGTAGAGATATTTGCGTTTGAAGCAGATGAGGTTGCCTGGTTTCAGTGGTAAAATTTGCGAGAAAATGGCTGCCAAAGTTTGGTAATTTCAATAGCTTGAGAGTCCTTGAAAACCAAAAAAATAAACATTTTGAGCCTTTACTCAAATTTTTTCAGTAAAATTCACATGGATATGTGTAATATATGACTTAAAATGTTAAAAGAAAGAAGTATGTTACTACTTCATATTTAAGAAATAACATGAATATAGAGGCTCAATTACTTTTTTAAACTTTGCCAAAAAACAAAAATTTGATAAAAATTGCCAAAATGTAGGGATATGTTCCTGTTCCTTTAATTTCATTATTTTGACGAGTGCCTGATTTCACCATGATGCATCACATATAGTCATCGGGAACTGAGAAAAACAAACATAAATTACAGGGGGATTGGAAAGAAGTTTAACTAATCAAAAGTACCCTGTATTGAAAACTACAGCAATCCCCAAAAAACCCTTATAACATTAGACAAATTCACAAACAAGCAGCTATTCACTTTTAGATTTTCTACACCACTGGCAATACAGCGGTTATCAAAAATAATATGCTGAACAAGAAATACCACGCAACATAAAAAATGAATCCTAACAGCTCACTTCTTCTAAACAATGAATTGTATCTTTCAGTGGATTTTTTTTCTAAACATGGCACCAACAGGCAACACGGAAGAAGGGGTAAAAAGTGCCTTATACACAAGAAATAGTCCAGAAAACTATTATCATGACCAATAAATGTCTTCTAGAAGGACCAAAGAGAATAGCAGAAACGGGCACAGTTGGAAAGAGAGTCTTACTGTGATAGTGTACTCCAAGGTTGAGAACTGTGGGATGATCTCGGCGGGCTGATGCTGTTCTGATATTGCTGAATACTGAGGGGGGAACTGTTGACATAAAGGTAAAAACCAAAGTATGGTTATTGATTGGGAAAAAGTAAAGCACAAACTTGGCAATTTAATATACCATAATTCATGAACCAAGGAAAAATATATAAATCTAACACGCAAGGAACTAATAGCATTTATAGGAAGGTCTCAAAGCGTTAGTGAAGTTCACATCTCAAACTGTTATTTTCAATTCAAACCTAATTTAGAAAACCTCATTAGAAAATACATTAAATCTCCTAACTTGCATCCAGTCTACCGTCCGCAAAGCCAACTTTATATATATATGTCAACCAACATAATTCTTTGCCCGAAAGATATGCTACTATACAGAAACAAAGAAACAACAAGGTATCACTATTCACAGTCCCCACCCATAAAAAATGTTTTTACATCATGTACTCCCCCCCCCCTCCCCCCCAAAAAAAAGAAAGAAAGAAAGAAAAAAGTATGTTACTACTTCATATTTAAGAAATAACATGAATATAGAGGCTCAATTACTTTTTTAAACCTTACATGACATTCAAACACAATTGCCTAGGAACTTACGGGATTGCGCTGGTAACAAAAGTTGCATGTCCACATTTTAGCTCTGTAGTCAATTTGGCTGAAAAAGAAAATATGTAAAGAACAGTGTAAAAAATGCAGAGAAAACTATCATGAGTCCACTGAGAAGCTTAAATAGTGGGTTCTGCATCCTTTTAAGGATGAGCTATGGCTCAGTACAAAGAAGGAAAGTTTACAGGAGTTTATTTGCTCACATGCAAATCTTTCTCTGATTAAATGAAAGGAAACAGTTTACACATATATCCTGCAATAAGTTTAAAGCTTGTTTTCTACTTGACTGTATTAATGCTGTCACTTTCTAGCATGATTGATCACACATAAAATTCAAAATGAAAGATTCAATCATTCTAGTAATAAAATTATACAATTCCAGAATATTGCTGATACTGTCATTGTGGCAAGAAAAATGGGTAACTCCAAAGGATTTTATACTGGGTGCCCATTGCGAATGGGATCGGGTCGATCGCCCGACTCGCTGCCCAAAAACAAACGCGATTGGCTTTTGCCAAAATAGCTGCTTTGCGCCCTCAATCCGGCTGAAAACCAACCCGACCCCATCCCCAAATGGGCACCCCGTATTACCAATAATGTAAAGCAGGATCAATAACTTATTTCTATTTTTTTGAGACAGCATTAAAAAGTACACAGAAATTACATGTTCTCATGATAGGAATCACATGAAAAAACAGCTAAGAGATCATAAATGGTCTTCCTCACCAAAATGGATTGAGTATCGCTCTGCACGTCGGTCTGGTACAAAGTACAGGATCGTACTGAATGGGTGGAAGGTCTGGCCTTTCCTTCAGGGGAGTGAAAATGGCTCCGAGGGGGACAACCATCCTGGTTGCCTCCAGACGGCTAGAGGGCCACACATTCCAGCTAAATCTGATGCCGTCTCTGTCTTCATTCTGTTGAATGAACTCTTGATAGGTCGCCATTGCAACACAACTGCTGGGAAGAAATAAAAAGTAAAGAGATATAAATCAACCTCGGACAAGATTTACTATACCACCAGTCTGGCGTCTTCAGCTAAACTAAACCTAAATGAAAACGTGCATCACCAGAAGGTAAAGTAGTATAATTTTCAAATTACAAAACCATGACCTTTTCAAGAAACTGAAATGTTACAGAGATCAAAACAAAGAAAACTGGATCGTGTTTTTACATGACCATCATCTATAAAATCGCGTAGGTAGCTAATTAATTTTAAAAGAATTACAGACTGATTTACTTTTATGTCAAATTCCTGAGAAAAGTAGGCAAACAAAACAAAAGCAAAATTCAATTCTGCTCATGAAAAGACAATGGAAATTGTATTCCTAAACATTCTGGCTCTAATACTAGAACTCAACCTTTCTCTCTGTCCTTCCCACCTACACCTACAGGCACCATTATACTACCAGCCCTGCCCAAACCCAAATCTACAGTACAAAAGACTACACCACGTCAGTCACTATTTCGAGGTTTCGTTAATTTTTCAGAAATATTAAAATGAATCACGATTTCTCATACATTTTAACACACTTCACTTGACTTCACAAGAGATTGAATATATTGTCACTGAAAACAAAACAACTTATTAAATGTTACAATGCAAATGCCTGCCAGCGCAGATTCACTTGTTAGGTCATTATATTATGAGTGGAAGTTTGATCCTAATAATAAGCCACAAGATTTGAATAAAATGACCTTTGATTGGGAAATGGTAGATTTAAGCTAAGGCCTAAATTTTAATACTTTATTTTTATACTATAAAGAATGATTTGATTAGGAGGTTTTATAATTCAGTGACGACCAAATTTACAAAATCTAGAATCTAGATTATATATCTATTCCGGACTCTGGTTTAAAACGTGTGTTTTATATCGATGGAAGTGGCTATCCTCACTCGGGGTGAGAATAAAAATATGATCGACCTCTCACCCCGGGTGAGACTTGCCACCGTTGGCTATTCTCACCCGGTGTGAAACAAGACCTGTTTTTCCTAACTTCGGAATACTTTCTATCGGTGTGGATGATCAAATGGATAAAAGCAAAGAAAAAATTATGTTATAGCACAAAAGTAAGCTAATTTGAAGGTCTACAAAGATGCTATGGCTATTTCACTTTTCGAATCGAGCCGAACTACGAGGGTCGACATTTTGTTTTGACCGGAAGTTCCCGCAGGATCTACTCCTCCCCTCTTCTCCCTGTCTGTCTCTTTCTGAATACTGTCAATTGGTGTGGACGATCAAATTGACCAAAACAAAGTTAATAAATGATGTTAAAATACAAAAGCAAATTAATTTGGTTGTCTACAAAGATGCTACGGCTATTTAACTTTTCGAATCGAGCCGAACTACGCGGGGCGCCATTTTGTTTTAACCGGAAGTTCTCGCGCTACTCCTCTCTCTCTCTCTCCACTGCCCACAGACAAAATTGTACGCTTTTAGTCTTCTAACGGTAATAATGGAACATTTGTTCACAGCACAGAATTCTAGGGAGGACTTCCGTAACGAGCGACCACTATGAGACAGAGCAGAATTGAGGGCTTAGGGGTAAGGGTAGGGGTAAGGGTAAGGGTAGGGGTAGGGGTAGGGTTAGGGTTAGTGTAGGGTTAGGTCTAGGCCTCTTCTTTATTGTGTTTGATGGGGTGGTCGCTCGTTACGGAAGTCCTTCCGAATTCTATCATTTTTCTGTTCGATTACAATCACAGTGTAGAATTCTGAGGTTCAGGGTGAACGCAAAATTGGTTGGCCTAGATCTAGATCTAGGCTATAACGGTGAACACACACCGGGTGAGAATAGCCAAAAGACTCGCCTGCGCGGCCACCTCTATTCTCACCCGGGATGAGAATAGTGCAGGCGAGTCTTTTGGCTATTCTCACCCGGTGCGCGTTCACTGTTATAGCCTAGATCTAGGCCAACAAATTTTGCGTTCACCCTAAACCACAGAATTCTACACTGTGATAAAACAGAAAAATTGTAGTATTCTGTGCCGTGAACAAACGTTCCATTACAACTGTAGTCTACTAAAAGCGTACAATTTTGTCTGTGGGCAGTGGAGAGAGAGAGAGAGAAAGAGAAAGAGAGAGAGAGAGAGGAGTAGCGCGAGAACTTCCGGACAAAAGTCAAAACAAAATGGCGACCCGCATAGTTCGGCTCGATTCGAAAAGTTAAATAGCCGTAGCATCTTTGTAGACAACCAAATTAATTTACTTTTGTGTTTTAACATCATTTTTTAACTTTGTTTTGGTCAATTTGATCGTCCACACCGATAGACAGTATTCAGAAAGAGACAGAGAGAGAGAGAGAGGGGAGGAGTAGATCTTGCGAGAACTTTCGGGCAAAACAAAATGGCGACCCGCGTAGTTCGGCTCGATTCGAACAGTGAAATAGCCATAGCATTTTTGAAGACGATCAAATTAGCTTACTTTTGTGCTTTAACGTAATTTTTTCTTGGCTTTTATCAATTTGATCATCCACACCGATAGACAGGTATTCTAAAATGAGGAAAAGCAGGTCTTGTTTCGCACCGGGTGAGAATAGCCTACGCTGGCAAGTCTCACCCGGGGTGAGAGGTAGAATCTAGATCGTTTTTCTATTCTCACCCCGGATGAGAATAGCCAATTCCCGCCTGCGCTATTCTCACCCGGGGTGAGAATAGCCTTATCATATAACATGGCCAGGTAGAAGTACGACTGGCCTAAGACCAAGGCCTTATTTATAGTTTATAGATCTAGATTCTAGATCTAGTTTAAAAGTTAAATAGGCCTTATAAGCCTAGATCTAGATCTAGATCTAGATTCTAAATCTAGGCTACGCATAACTACTTGACTTGGGAGGGCAAGTTAGATTCTAGTAGGCTAGGGCTATGTCACTGTGGAAACAGTTGATAATTGAAGAGGTCAGTGAAGGGTTGTATGAGGAAAAAAGCTTAAACAATTCAAGTCAATAGTAACCCTAACAAGAAGAATCATAAACCCCTATCACACTTAGAAATGTAAACTATATATAACAACGTCGTTGACCAACAAACCCAAGCCCCTTACTGGATCGTTGTGATTGTGATGGGTAAAAGTCTAAACAACTGATCCTAAAAACCGGGTTTGATTGAATCCACGCAAAATATCGAATAGATCCCAAGTCTGTTCATCTGCGAGTGTTAGCTTAGCTCAATGGAAGAAGCAAAAGTGAGCAAAGTACTACAGATCTTACCTGTTTTCTCCCCAATCGAGAGAACACGTAGTTGAGAAAACTGCTGGTAAATATTACAACTCCTCTGTAGACGTAAGACGGAAGTGGAAGCGTGACACGTCAGTTCAGGGGAGGCCACTCTACATTAGAAGCGCGGTTATGTTCCCTTTGTTTATGTTCTCGTTGATACCGACGCCGAGGCCTTGACGAGGACGTAAACAAGTTTGTTCGCGGGTGCCCTCGCCGCTCTATCAATGTGCCCTCAATCATGGATGAGTTGAACACAGCACTGCACAAGTTCAACCAAAACATTGTTGATGCATCTCGTCAAGTATGCAGGGATAGCATAGCGTTTTGCATGACTCAAGTTGTTCTCCCTCTTTTAGAAAAAGTCGGCGAGATCGATGTTCGATTCAAGTGTGCCTCGCCGCTGCCAAACGAGGCATATTTCCAAGGGATGAAAACTACGTGTGTGAACGAGTTCGAGCTCACCGTAATTCTAACCCACCTTGTGACGGCCAAAACGTTTGAAGATACCGGTTGTCAGGACACGAATTTTTCTTGTTATGGTCGAGTGTTACCTCACCAAGCCCCCCACCCTCTAGGGGATTTACTCGTAGACGCCGGTCCCTCGCAGGGTCATTTGTCTGCTCAGAGGATTAGGCAAATCTTCGCCCAGCTCGTTAGACAGGCAGCTTCGATCTTGCCGCTCACTGGACTAACGTTAGAAGTATTCTTCAAAGGTGAGTAGACAGCAAACCCATTCTTGGTTTTGACTGATGTCATCATTTAATATCACCCCATTTCTATAGAATTCTGTCTTAGTATATTTATTATTTAAGTTATATAATTTTGTATGTAGGCCTACGTATTTATACTACGGTTCTCTTTGATAAGCCACCAAAAAAAGTACCTGAACTCGTATATGGTGTGTGGTTCTGTTTCTTTTCTAGCTTCGTTTATAATTAAAGTATTAGCCAATGTGCCCAAGACATATTTATTTTCTGTAGCCTACACTTTTGTTTCTTGTATATCAACAAGAACAAGGAACAAGATGATGTATGCTCTCTCTCTCTCTCTCTCTCTCTCTCTCTCTATCTCTCTCTCTCTCTCTCTCTCTC